TTATAATATAGTTTGTTACATTTAGACAAGACGTTTCTTAACAAATTATTTTTCATGATTGATGTAACTTTTTTACTGGTATTGCTAATGGAAATACATATTTCAATAGGCTGAGTGTTGAGATTGTTTTTAGGATCAAATAATTCTGGAAAAAAATATATTATATAATTAAAAATAACCTACATCTGAGAAACATCATTCTTCATAAATTTTTTATAGTTTCACTATATCAGGTTCTTGAAAATTCAGAATGCCTAATTAATGTAAATTTAAATTTATTCCATTGAGAAATGTTATTAACTTTCAAAAACAACTCTGAATGAATAATATTGGGTAGCTTGTAAAGAATTGGAATTTCTAGCTCACTCGTTAGAAACGCTAGTTGATTATGCAACAGAAATTAATTAATTTTGGCAATATTTGTGGCCAAGATTATGAAATTTCGCACAATGTTTCAGGATTTAGTTAAAACATGCAGTTTTAAACTGGTTTTAAAGCATCTTGCTTACATCAAAGAACAAAATACGAAAACAATCATTATTCAGAAGTAAAAATTAGATGTAAAATTTTTGGCAATAAACGTTTTTTCTCTCAATTAAATTAAACGCTTTTAAATAATTTAAACTAGAGAAAGTATCTTTAGATACATAATTATGATTGGAATATTATAATAAATGTTTTAATCTGAAGGAGATTATCAAGAAGAACTATTTAAGGCTCTCGTCAGCACTTTTTTTACTATTGAATTAAAAATAAAATAACGTATACTATCATGACTGAAATCGGAAAATATGCGCTCGGAAGGTATAAATTGGGGGTTTATCGGAGGTTCTCATTTTGCACAAAAAGCATTTGAGGAATGTCGTCCGTCTTTGTTGCTAAATCGCCAAAATTGACCAATAAGCAAGATACCATGCACTTCTAGAAATTAAAATCGGCATTTTTCTCAAAAGCCCTTGATTAATTAACCCTTACAAGTGAAAACATTTGATTCAGTTCCTATAAAAATTGTTTGAAGAATAAAGATTCCACACTTCTTGTAAGTGTGAAATTTTTAAAACATTCTGCGAACGAAAAGCCATTTTGGCCAACTTTTTTTTGCAAGTTGCGTCGGAATCAAAATTGGCCAAGTTTGAGATCAAGGGTTGGCCATTGAGGAAGGCAGCGCACTCATCGATTCTTTTGCTTTGCGATTGTCCGCGGAAGTCGGGCGTGCGGTGGCGGATTGCGCCGGGCGAGGACCGACGTTCCGTACGTCCCATGCGAAAAGCAGAACCGGGCACGCCGACGAGGCTTGTTAAAAACGCCCGCCCGCCCACGCACATACGCGCGGCCCAATACATTTGCCACCCCCGCGCCGCGCGCGTTGTGACGGTTTGATTTGGCTGAGCCTGGGTGTGACGTCACGCGGTGCGAATGCACCATCTGAACTTCAGGACCGCACAATGGCGCGCGCTCGTCGTCGTCGGTCTGACCGTGGCCTCCCCGCGCCAGCACCGAGCCGCCCACCCCTGCCTCAATTCAACCCTCGCCGGGCAAGAATTCGTTCGAGATCGAAAGTTGTTTTGCCCCTCGGCGTTTTTTATTCCGCAAAATAAGTGAAATCGCTGCTTGCAATGAAAGAAGTGTATCGCAAATTGGACTCTTCAGTTCAACTTGAAAGGCATAGTTATGAAATTGTGAAAAAAGTTTTGCTCTCTAGTTGAATTTTTTAGCTGTTATGAATTTTTATTCTATTTAAAGGGGATTTTTTTGTGAAATAATGAACATAGTTATGGATAAATGAGGTTAATTGGATTTTCTAAATGCTAATTTTCAACAAGAAAATAAAATTGAAACTTAAGTGATCATATCTTCCAATTAGTCTTGAAGGATTCTTTATCTTCGTTGATTTTTAGAATTTCAGTTTGGAGAATTGTTGTTGAATTGAAATTAAAAAAGGAAAAAATTGATAAATTTAAAAAAGACGTAAATTTACAAAATTTGCATAAAAATCAAATATCAATCATTTCGGCGAGAAGAAAATTTACATTTTTCTCTTATAAACATTTAAAAATCAAGGCACGCACTTTTACTGAAAGTAACAGTTTGGGTTATCTATATGGAAGCAAAAAATATTGGTAACTTTTTTTTTTTAATATGTACCATAGAAAGAGATCTGTGAAGATTGATTATAAAATTTTCCTCAAAACTGACATATACAATACATTAAAAATTTTAATTTTTTTTTAATAATTAACAAAATCTTATTACATTAAAATATCTCTTTATCCATAATTTGTTGATTTCACATTTTTGTCACACAATTTAAAAATTAGAAAAATAATTTACTTCAAACAATCTAAATGATTATTTCCAGAAATATTTTCACACCTTTGCGAGGTCATAATATCGCAGCGACTGACCTTCCACCTCAACTGGGCCTGGGTGATGGCCAATCGGGGCCAAAAATATCGCGGCGTGTCCAGGAAAATGCGCCGAAAATAGCCGCGCCCTAAAAATAGGGTCACACGAAAAAAGGTCGCACGCGTGTTGTGTGACGCAGAGGGGGGCTAATTAAATCTCTCGTGCTCACGACCTATCCTTATTTCTTTGCACATGCAAACGCATACCTAATAAGCACCGCCATTCCGATGCTCCAAAGGGTAGAGAAAGAAAAACTAAGCCGCGATAAGGCAAGAAAGTTTAGTGGCAAAACTCCACCCCTTCCATTTCTGGCCCGTCTCTCTTTGATATCGGCTCGGTCTCTTTGAAATGTATGGAAATTTAATGACGCTTTTCTCGGGCAAGGCCAAGGTCAGCTCAAAAATAGGAAAATCGAGTTATCAAGATGAGCCCATTCTAAAAGAGTTGACGGAGAACTGTTGATGCGCGACCCTTTATGACAACGACGCTGGCTCATGATTAAATTTTTGGTCAGAATTGCCATTTGAAATATATTTCCAGAAATTTAATCATTTATATCAAATTGCCAAATTTGTTTTTATTGCCAGGATGGAAAAATGGAGTGAGAAATCTTTAAATAAATACGCGGTCGAACCTCTTTGCCACAGTGACGCAGTATTTGCAAGCGGATTATTTCGCCGGATTATTTGAAGGAAATTCAGCCCAAATGTTTGCTCTGCAAGCGAATATCGAGACGCTATTTCTATTTATTTTGAGCTTACCGCCGCCTAGAAAGACGGCAAGTCACGTGCTGAAGAATTAACAAAAGCCGCAATTGCTGCTGGATTTTTAATCCCCGAGGTCACAAAAGAAATATTATAGAACCCAATTTGGAGGCTGAAAATTCGATTTAAAGCAAAAGCCACAACTACTAATTTAACGGTACATTCGCTGATCACCTTGCGGATGTGTGCCTTTGTCAGTAGAATTTCAAGTTCCATTTCGTATTTCAAAATTAATTTTATTTCTACATTTGGTTTGTTTCTTAGTGCATTCTATTGATAAAGATCAGCAGTAAATTTTATCTCCATCAATTCTGATCCTCAAATAGAGAATTTCACAATATCTTAGAAATTCCTCTCATGAAAAAAATTCCCATTTTTTTAATTTTATTTTTTAAGATTATATTTAGGTTGTTTACTAGAACTATCAGATTAATTATATTTGTTTCATTTGAACATTTTGAATTCTAAAAAGTTTTACTTTTAATTTACTGATATTTCAAACTTATGGTCGCGCAAAGGCCATAGAAAAATTAGTCAATCGGCTAGGATTTGCTCATCTTCTTGTCAGATAAAACAAAGTTGAAAAGTTTGTTCAAGCTCAAACTAAGTTTTAAGTTAAAACATGTTACTTTTCAGGCATTTTAAAAATAAAATAAAAAGTTCAACTTTTTCTACGTCAATCAATCAAAAATCTGTAGAAAATGCGCAAACAATGGGACCAAAATGAGTTGGGCCAACTCAAAAAAGTGGGCAAACGCAGCAGATATTGTGCCTGCGAGAAGAAAGAGAGGCAGCCAGAGACTCACTCTAGTCCTAAGTAAGAGAAAGAGATCAATATAGAGCGGTGGTGGTAGTGAGTGGTGGGCCTCCCTCGGCGAGCTGCTGCTTCATGTACTGCACCAGACACCATCGACCTGTTATAAGGAAGCTCTACTCCACTCACACACACACCAATGACCTTGCTATGCAACCTACGGCCGGCCAGGGGATGCGATCGAGCGAGCGCCCCATCAACCACCCAGACACAACAACGCACACACAATAGATTGGCCCAATCATTTCGCCATTATGGTACTTGCGCGACCAGGCCTAATCTGCGATTCATTCGTCGGCCGGCACATGTACATGTGTAATGTCCCGTCTATCGCAGTGTCGGCGCTCTGATTTCCTTTTAAAATCCCACGCGCTGATTGCGAATTCATCGGCGAATCGACCATTTGCGTTCGGTTGTTGCCAATGGAAAATTACTGCGGGAAATGGCACTGATTGTGTGCTTGATCAATTTTCAAAGTGAGAATTGTCTAATTCTGTGCCAGCTGCACAGGTCGGTTTGAACTGGAAAAAATTACTTGCCTACTTTCAAGACTTAATTTATCCAAAAATTTTGATAATTTTAACAAGCCTCTTTGAGTGGTTTTCACTGATTGAGCAATTTTAAAATATAATGATTTTTGTTTTTGTTTCAGTTCTTGCAATTTTTTTTTTACAATTTGCTATTTTGGCCAGAGTAAAAGTTAAACTCACCAACATCACACCTCCTGGTCACACCAAACAATTAAGTAAACTAAAATGAACGGAATAGTTTGATCTTAAAATTAGAATTAAAAAATTTCAATTCAGGTAAAACCTTTCCATGAGCATAGTTTCCCGTGGGATACATGATGAGATACCTTTAACTAGCTATTTTAATAAAATGGGTTTTTTAAATTTATATTCCAGCATTTTTTGCAATAATGGAACATCGTCTTACATTTAAGTAAAGTTATACAATTTATCTCACTAACCTTGCTTTAATGAAACGTGAATTAACTTTTGACTTTTTTGTTGCAGTTTCCTGGATCAGGTTCATATAATCAAACAACCCAACTACACTCCCTCTGAACAGGACATCCTCCGGTGTCGTGTTTTGACCTCAGGAATTTTTGAAACCCGGTTTCAAGTGGACAAAGTAAATTTTCAGTAAGTCATTTTTGATTATACCATTTTTTTAGCCAACACGATTTAATGAAAACTAAAATTTTTCAGCATGTTCGATGTTGGAGGGCAGAGGGACGAGCGGCGGAAATGGATCCAGTGCTTCAACGACGTGACGGCCATCATCTTCGTCACGGCGTGCAGCAGTTACAACATGGTGCTCCGGGAAGACCCCACACAAAACAGGCTCAGGGAGTCACTTGACCTTTTTAAAAGCATATGGAACAATAGGTAGTTAATTGAAACAAAATTATGTATGCACCGAGCTGACTTTTCTTTAAACTTCCAGATGGCTGAGAACAATTTCGGTGATCCTGTTCCTCAACAAACAAGACTTACTGGCTGAGAAAATCAAAGCTGGAAAGTCCAAGCTGGAGGACTACTTCCAGGAGTTCTTACGCTACCAAACCCCCATGGACGCCACTTTCGAGCCAGGGGAGGACATTGAAGTGATCCGCGCAAAATATTTCATTCGAGATGAGTTTCTGGTGGGTATCTTGTCATTAATTAATTCTGGCATATTATAAATCAAGGCTATTAAACGTTTCAGTTGATTTTACATTTTATATTTTTTTTGAATCAGTTTTATTTTCAATAATTTTGTTTGGTTTAATTGTTTTATATAATTCTAAAGAAGTTTAAAGTAATTACGGAAAAAAAAATAAAAAACCAAGAATAGTTTTGGGGTTACACCAATTTTTTTTAGGAAATTATGAGAAATTTAAATTCCTGTTTAATATAATTTTTAACTGAAGCTGTAAATTAAAAAAAAAAAGTGCTTTGATAGCTTAATTTTGTGTTTTGGAAAGTTGTTTTTAACTTCCTCTCTCACTTAGCCAAGTTGTTGTTGCGCTTTTTTGCAAACATGCTAATTTTTCTGTTTTTCACTTTGTGGCCACAGCGCATCAGCACAGCAAGTGGTGACGGAAAGCACTACTGCTATCCACATTTTACGTGTGCCGTAGACACAGAGAACATTAGGAGGGTGTTTAACGACTGTCGGGACATCATCCAGAGGATGCACCTACGGCAGTATGAACTGTTGTGATGTCGAGGCTCTTTGACTTTTCCTTTTGCCCCCGCCGCCGCCCCTCACTTCTGCATCACATTCAAGTACCCAACGGTCTGCAGCGTCCGTAGAAGAAGCGGTTGAAACTTTTGCTTACATACCAAGAGAAGAAGAAGAATTCAGATTGAGAGAGAGCGCGAGTACGTTTTTTCCGACAAACAAACAGAAATCTTACCTAAGCAGTGAGAAGAAAATAAATGATTAAAAGCAAAAGAGGCCACCTTGTCAAACGAGATGTTATGTTTGTTGCAATTCGAAAGTGGGCCAATCAGTGTGCTACATTTTTTTATGTATGATTAATTATTACAGAGAGTGTGCTGCGAGTGCAAGGGGATCACATATATTATGTTTTCTTCGAATGGCAATTTCACCCGTTGCCACAAACCCCCGCCTTTATGTTGTTGTCTTTTTTCGTTGATCTGGCCAAACAAAGGATTTCTTGAAAAAGAGAGATCGATTGATAGTCCTATCCTGTCGTAGTTTTTCCTTGAGCTATTGTTGTGTTTTTAACATCAATATCTCTTGTTTTTATTCACTTGGAGATTTTATTGATTAATTATTGTAACATTATATATATATTTCTATTGCTGTTTTTTGTTGAACATTTTGACAAATCATTTTTTTTTTTTGCACCGACACGTATTAGACTTCTGTCAAAAAGGAGCTAGTATTTGTTGCATTTAAACAGCGCCCTCGAGCTGACATTTTTTCTCAAAAAAGTTAAGTTAAAGTTATAAAAAAAAACGCATTTCCATCCTCGTGGAATCTCCTTTGATGTGTGTAGACAAAAAAATGAGCACTGTAAAACAGGCTGGATAGTAAATTAATCAAATCAGAACCAGAATACTATTTTGAAGAGTTTTTTGAGACACTTTCCAGCCTGTTGGATTCCAAATGCTGTGCCATAGGTTTTGCCCTCTTAGTGCATCAGAAAGTGGTGCTGACAAAAATGCGACTGAATTTACAGCACAAATTATTACAAAACAAAAAACCCAGCATACCCAGGTGCTTTGTTGGTCACACTTTTGTTTTATATAAATTTCTTAACATCTGCGCGCTCTTCTTTGAGCAGGATTTGCATTTGCTTTAAAAAAAAAATAACTGTATACTGTGGAATGCGTTTGATTTTTGTTTTTCTGTCGATTCTCTGCGATAAACAGTTGGCGAGAGCACATTCATCTATTATGTGAGAGTTAATTATTGTTGTTGTGGCTCTTCAGCGGCAGATGCACAAAATTGCTGTAAAGAAAAGAAAACTACCTACAGTTTGTGAGTTGACATAGATTCAGTTTTGTGACAAGCGAGTGAGAGTGCGAGCAAAAGGAGAAAAAAACTAAAAACGATGCTGTCAGCTTGTTAAAAAAAAAAATGGCCCACACTAAGGACCTCTTCTTTAAAGTTCTCTCCAAACAAAGAAGCAAATTCCCACAAAATGCACAATATTTAGGTGAGAGAGAGAGAGAGAGAGCAAGAGAGTTATTTGTGTTATTCAGACACAAAAGCAGGAATCTTTTAGATGAAAAGTGAAAAAAAAATACATGTCTAGTCCTATTTTGATTTCTACCGCGAATCTGACTTACGAGTGTGATTGCCATACACATAAAAGTAATTATGTGTCTCTCGAGTTAAATCACATTTACACACACACATACACAAAACACACGTACATGTACACTCTCACACACATCTCTGCGCTGCAGTCATGCAATAGAACTAATTCGGTTGGCCTTTTATTTTCATCTCTTTTTCCATTAGCAGGTTATCATAGTCCGCTGGGCGATACCCGTAAATTATTAAGGGACAAAGTCTAAAAGCGCGTGGCAGAATATATATATATAATAATAAAGAGCAATTGGCTTGTTTCTAAGAAACACTCTCGGCATGTTATAGATTTCAGTCAGAGGCGATCGATGATTTTTTTTCATTTGATTTTCAGTGGGGGTTTAAAAACGAGTAGCAATTTAGGAGAAGAAGAAAATATATAAAAACAAACAAAACAGCAGCAGATAATCCAGAAATGGGTGTTTAAGAGTTAACAAAAGAAACGCAAAATGTTTAAAAATTATATAAAAAAAAATAATAATTTAAAAATAGAGCAGGACTGGGAAGAAGAAATCAAAATAAAATTTAAAATCGTAAAAATATTTGTGCAATGTGTTGGTTGTTAGAGAATACAGACAGAGTGTAAGTGTTTACGAAGAAAAACTCCTCTCTCATTGTGAAAACGAGCAAACTGATCGTGTAACTCGGCATCTCATGCATCACTTTTGCAGCAGCTTCTTTTATTCTCGTCGCGCCGCGAGCACGAGAATGTTAAAAATAAAAATGAAACATAGTGAGAGAAAATTTTCAACTCGTTTTTGTATTATTATTATTATTAAAAAATTGTTTGAAACGTAAGATTGCCTGGGAGCAGCAAATCTTTTTCGTTATTTTACTTTTAGTTCCTCTTCTGGAAAGAATGGATATTTTAAAGTTTAACGCAAAGCACGCGGCAGCTTTTCCGATGAAACGAATAAACTGCGTATTAAACCAAAAAGAGAAAATTTATCAGCACTAACTTTACGCGCTTTTACATACACTTGAGAGCAGCTACTAAAATCGAGAGACAGCAAAACCACAAACACACACGAAAACCACACTCACACGTCAAGTGCGATGTCTGCCAGACTATATAAATTTTAAGCAAAAGTTCACACTCGAAGCAAAAAAAAAAATATGCAAAAAATACTATGAAAACAATTTCGACGACATTTGACTCCTGAGTATTGATGGCACGCATAAAATTAAATGTAATAAAAAGCAAAGATATGAGAGAATTTCAGAGAGAAAGAGTGCGTGCTTTGAGGAGAGTGACGAGAAAACTAGAGAGTTTTCTCTGCTTTTGTGATTTTGTACAAAAATTATTATTATCTGATCATAATGAAGAAGTGTTTGAAAATGTTTTTTGTCAAACTGTGTCGTCTACGTAAGGATAAAATGAAAAACGGAAAAATAACAAGCTAAGCAAATTTGTTTCCCGTGCGAATGCGAGAGCCACCGACCAGACTCCAAAGCGGCGGCTTTTTCTACCCCACACTCTCACGCATGTATTATATATAATGAAATATATATACCATTTTTTGATACCAGTACTATCTGTTGAGGCGAAACTTTTTTATTGACAATTATTTTTCTCGTGTATTTAACGCATCTGTGCCCTTTGGAGTTTGGATTTTCGTATATGAAAAAAAGGTCAAAAGAAAAATAAAAACCCGATCGAGCCGTTGCCGCGCGGTTCTCGGGAAAGGCTTGATGACACTAAAATGGATGTTCTAGCGACTAAATGATCGAAATAGTGATGAGACAAACTATTTTTTGTTTACACATAATTTGTCTATAAAAATGCTAAAGATGTGGAGGTGAATGCGACAGACAGCATGAGAAAAAGTTACGAATTAAAAACACAAAGATTCGCGCGCCCGGACGATGGCCGTCGAATTAAAAAAAGAATATCTAGCGAGTTACTGGTTTGTTTTTCATTAAGATGAAAGATGATGAATTTATTATTTACTATTCAATCGCTGTGAAACATTCTTTACGATTATTGAGTGCAGTCAAGAGCCTGTATTGTTGTCCCTCATGCCCCCTGCCTTCTCTTTTATATAGGTAAAAAGTTATATGTTGATACTTTTTAGTGTACGACAAAAGCATAAAAATAAAATATATATACAAATATATAAATAAAAAGGATTCGCTAGTGTTTTCATTAAGATTTATTACATTGACGAGTGGTTTTAAAAATGTTGATTGTAAACAAAACACAAGGAGATTTAATTAGGGGTTTTTCATAATATTCTAGGACTATATTAATTATGCTCTGCTTTTCCAATACTTTAAATTATTTTTATTGTTAAGTTGTATACATTGTAATAAAAATAAGTTAAGATAAAATAAATTAGATAATTCAGTGGTAACCCACACATACAGTGCCGTTTTTGGTCATGGCAGCTGCAAGCATGGGAATGGATTATAATTATTTTTATTGATGTGTATATTAAATTATAACATTGTGGGTGAATAGCAATTTTTTTTACTGATAACAAAAACATGCATAAATGCATCTATGGATTATTACTGCAAATCGTACCATTCGCCTCGGCAACTTGCAGCTGAGGAGCTCCACTGGCGGCCTCATCCTCCTGATTATTGGCCAAAGGCAAGTCGGCGTTGTCAATCATGGTGGCTGCAAGCATGGGAATATATTATAGATAACTGACATTAAATTAATTATTTTAGATAACAAACATGTATAAATACATTTACGGAATATCATTGCAAATGCAAAACATACCATACGCCTGGTCAACTTGCAGCTTAGGAGTTCCGTTGTCGGCCCCATCCTGCTCCCCATCAGCTGGAGCTCCAACAGCTCCAGTTCCGGCTCCGTTAAGAAAGTTTGTTTCCAAGAATATCACCCGCAGTCGGCCTTCCCTGCGCAATAATAAAATGAGTTTGAAATTAATTAATGAGATTCGAAGTTATTCAGACAGTATATTGAGACACTCACGTTGAGCGAGTCCAGCTGGTGGACGATATCCATTTCCTTGTGCCAGACCATACAAGATGTTTCCATGCAGCTGCTTAGGAGCATTTGTGGCTAAAGTTTTTTGGTCATCATTAAGACCTGGCAGCATTTTCATTTCAGGAGGAATGATCGAATCTTCCTCATCGTCCACCAGTTCAAAGGGCTCTAAGGACTTCAAACAGCTTAAAGCATCTCTCGGCCAAGACATGGGCGGCTGATGTGTAGGAAAAAAATAATGAAGATAATGGATTGATTTATTTACTTATAAAAATGCTTACTCTCATTTCCATTAGCTTTTCCTCCGTTGGACAGCAGAAAGTAGATCATAGTGGCATTATTCATGAATATCGTCTGCAGGTTCCAATCAGGACGGGAGCTTCGTTTTCACCAGCCGAACCGGCATATACGGCTGGTTTGTGGTGCGCTGGGACAAACCGGGGCCAGACAACTTGTCTGAGAGGCATATCTAAATAAGGAGAATAAAAAATATAATTATATTTTTCAGCGTTGTTATTATATAAGTATAGTAAGTATACTAATGGAAAATGCGGGTGAATGTATCAAATGAAAAATATAAACCGAATATAGCAAAGATAATGTATATTTTTATCAATAATATTCATATTTTGGACATCAGCCGGTGAAAAAATTAAACAAAATTTTCAAAAATAAATCCTGAGTTTTTCAAAGAAATTCTTAGATAAGTGCGGCCGGATAAATAATCGAAAATTCACACATTTCACACTATAACTTATTTAAATATCCAAATATGCACGCGACGTTTCCTTTAAATACACATATAAATAATCATAATGTATATAGAAAAAAAGGATTTAAAAATCGTTATAGTGTGTGAAACGTGTGAATTTTTTACTATTTTTGTCCGCATAATTATCTACGAATTTCTTTGAAAATTCAAAATTGGGAAAATTTTGTTAATTTTTCAACGGCCGTGTATCAAATTTTTGTAAAAATAATACAATTAAATTGGTCAAACATGCAAGATCGACGCTTAAACCAAAAACGTTAATCTGAAACTTGTAAAAATTAAAATTTGTTGAAACAGCTCAGATTTCAGACAGTAACGGATAATGGAGACTGAAATCTTTCAGCCTTGCCATAACATACCTTTCTTTCTTAATTCCGTTAGGCTTTTCCAAATTTCTCAAAGACAACACTCTCTGCTGAGCTTTATATCTGCAGAGCGAGAGGATCTTTTACTAAATTCTCGTAAATTCTATGCGGTCTGCCTGCAGCGGTGGATGCAACGTTTTCAAATAATTTTGAATTCTGTGAACGCGTATTGCCGTAAGAATTCTTGACACTAAAGCCTGCAGACAAGTCTGAACAATATCGGTGGAAAAAAATCCCACGGATATGTTTGAGAAGTAAAACAGCTTTCAGCACAATCTCCTCCGACAATTCGAATTTTTGTCGTTAGGTGGAGGGGAGGGGAGGCCAGAATGTGGAATTGCCGCCAGAGTGCCCAGAATGAGAATTGAGAAGGCTGAAAATCACAATTGCCGGTACATATGGATATTACAGGGGTGGGTTAGACAACGGATATTTTTGTAGGCACATAGATTACCAATTATCTTATGGGGCACAGAAACTGTGGTCTGATCCGAACTAATAATCCATCATTAATGGCCGGTGGTAATTTATGTGCAGTGCCCAAATTTGCACACCTGCTTAGGCTGCTTATCCATTCAATCCGTTGGCGGGATTTTTTTTGTGGGGAGGGGGGGGGGGTTCTGCATCAAGCAAATTAAACTTAAACATATATTATAATATGAATGATATAATATGATATTTATTTATGGAAAATTATTGAAAAGTGTGTTAATTAAAATTTCAGGCATTTTAAATAGAAAATCGATAATCTCATGCTACATCAACATGCATCAATTAAATTTACCAAAATTTTTTTTATATAATTTTAATTTCCTAATACACACATACTTATTAAATTCTCAAAATATTAAAAGAGAGATATATATTATATAAATAAATATTAAAACAAATTTGAGGTTAATTATGTTAAAATAAAGAGAAAACACATTTCATTATGTATATAAAAAAAAACATTAAAAATTTTCATTTTATAAGTTATAAACAAAAAAGATCTGAAATACCAACAAAGCTGAATTTAAAAGTGTATTATAGTAATATACTTAAATTAATAATGCATCATTTTTGTTTTAGAATTTAATATAAATGTGTCTGTTATGTTGCCTTGTAGAAGTGAAGCTAGATCAGTCGGCGGGAAATTTAAGTTTTATATTAGTTCTTCGTTTCATTTTCAGCCAAACCATAAAAATTGAATTTCAAATCTATAAATCAATAGTTTTCACAACTATGTCTTCTATCAAGAGGCACACAGGCACATTCAAGTTATTCAGTTTTAGATTTTTTCTTGTTTTGATAAATTGAAATCTTCCAAATTTTATCTGAATTTGTCAAAGGGAAATTATGATAGAAGATAATTCTATAAAAAAAGCAATCACTACCTTCTATCTCCATTTAGAGCTTCTCTTTCTTTTTAAAAGACTTTTCTCAATCAATTTCTTACTAATTTAAATGAAAATCTTATCTCTATATTTTCATTTTGAAAAATAAAGAATTAAATAAATGACAATATGAGCTCCAAAATTTTGTCTAAAACTTTCAAAATTAACTTTTCTCTTTATACATGGGTCAGGATAAGCTTCCGATTCAAATTTGAAAAAAAAAAATAAAAGTTGCATTTTAAAAGTTGAAATGTGATCAACCCTGTATGAAGGGAATATCTAGTTGATAAGTCAAACCAGTGAGTTTTTAACTTCTACCACTTTAAATTGATTTCATTTTTATTTTAATAATTACAATGCATCCTTTACGGCATTTTCACGTGAAAATAACATGCACGGCCAGTCAGAGGCGCTTGATGAAGGAGGGGCGCACTCAGACCGCTCGGCCGCCACATTAAATCTGTAAGTAAATAACAAAGGAAATGGCTGGGAACTATACACGACGGGCCGAATGCTGTGCTTAGACGGGCGCCCTCTTGGTCAGCTTGAACCAGTAGCCGCACTCGCATCGCCTAGGGGTGCCCTGGTGCAGCCACATCCAGTTAACAGAGGTCGCGTCCTCTTCGCAGACACAGCCCACGATCCTCGACTCAAAGCACGAGGGGACCAGGTTTGGACTATCCTTGGTGCCAGGCCCACGCTTGAAGATTTTCATATCAAAGGGATTCTAAAAAAGAAAATTATTTTCAACAAAGAATCCTTTTTTACACAAATAATTTAATTTCTTTTACTTTGCTTTAAGAAAACCTGTGTTATGTAATACTTAAAAATAAGATTGGAGATTTTTAAATTCCATATACTCAGGTTAATTCTAATAAATATCTCCCGATCTTTTTATGATAAAACCTTTTAAGTTATGTTTTCAATGACAATTAAAAAAAACTACACACAGTGGATCAACATGGAAATGAAGAGATTGGGCTTTTCCTTGTTGCAGAAAAATTGTTTTTTATTCAAAAACAAATGGCTCTACCAGTTTTGGTCAAAATGTATTTTTCTTGCTCATGAAATAGGGTCGCAGACCGTGACCGAAACTGGTAGAGCCATTTGTTTTTGAATAAAAAAATTTTTCAGCAATGAGGAAAAGCTCTTCATTTCCATGATCATCTCCTCGAGTGTCAACTTCTTCAAACAAAAGTGGATCAACATATTTTCATTTTCTCCTGGCCACCTAGAATGTGCTTATATGAATAAATGATTTGTTTTTAAAAAATTCATAGTTAAAGATGCTCTAATCCCACATTTAAAAAATGTTTTCAACTTGTTAAATTGTCTGAAAGTAACATAATTGCTTTTTTTATTATGAATAAGTTTCCCAGGTACAGAACTGTATAAGAAGTGTAAGTCCATTAGCTGCACATGAAATTAGATTTTATGATTCAAATTTTTTTTACAGAAAATTTTATAAATTAAATTTAAATTTTCAAAGAAAATATGAAAACTGGAGCTAAAAATTTCAATTATGCGTTTTTTTTTTTTAATTTTAAGCATTTAATTTAAAAATTGAAAATAACTGATGATCATGAGAGTTTATTGAAGTGATTGTCATTATCGATTGAATCTGTTATCGTCTATTGAATCCATATGAATTTTGGCAACGTTTTGCCAGGGTCACATACATCATTGCCAGCGGCCTGGGCCAGAAGCTCTCTCTTTTCGATTCCGGTGGCGTGTTCCAGGGGGTCCGCCAACACTGCGAAAAAATCAAATTCAAATTAAGATAGTATGAAAACCGATTAAAATCAAAATTTTCAGCCGGCAAGGTCCTTTCTCGTCTTTGCAACGACACAGACATGGACGATCAATGCCTGACCGGGTTTCCGAGAAACCAGTTCAGGGCCGACCCTGGTCTGTTTTGACCCGAATTTTTGCGGCGACCGAAAAAGAGAAAGTTTTCAACTTAGACTCACTTTTGTTGGCGTATCTGGCGCTGGAATAAATCACATTTCGGCGAGAAGTCTGCGCCAAAACTCTGCAGCAAAGAGCAGCCATTTTCTCGGAAGGTCGAATTCGGACGGTATGTTCGTAAGACGGCCGCCAGAGTGCACAACGCGACGGATAACCAAAGGGGGCGTGGCTGCCTTTGGCCCTACTTCGGCCTTTGCTAACGAGAACATAAACAAATCCTCGTGCTTTTAGTGTGTAAAATACCTTTATGTATTAATATTTTCAAAAGAAACGAGCAAAACGAGGATTTTAAGCTTTACTTGAGCACTTGCATGATTGCAAGGTTTCTTAGTAGATTTAGAATCAGTAACATCGTTGGGAAGAGGAAGGAATTCGAGATGGGCCCTACATATTACTACGCTGTTGTCGTTGGCAGGAAACGAGGAATTTTCATGACATGGTTTGTTCTATAAATAAGATTAATTTTTAAAATTCATAGTACATCAAGTGTCTCTGAACACTTTACTGTGTATTATTAAATTTAATTAGCCTGCATGCATTTTTTTAATCGAAGAAAAAAACCTTAACGCCATTTTCAGGTTAAATTTGAAATTTATATTTATTAATGTTATATTCTTTAATTATTTTTAGGAAAGAATGCTTTGAACAAGTGAACAAGATTGCCAATGCAAAATTCAAGAAGTTCAATACTGAAAAGGAAGCTCAGGACTTTGTTGAGAAATATGCAAGTCCTGTGAAGCAGTCGCCGGAGAAAGCCTTCCGATGGAACCAACCGCCCATCCGACATGCCGCTTCACAACCAGTACCACCAACTTTTGCCTCATCATCTCCAGCCCTGCTGTCAAATCCTTCCTGGCCTCCGCCTAATACACAGCAGACGAAGCCGAACCCGGCAGCATCGACTTCTTTGTCCAATAGCATGTTGCAACCGCCTTACCTGCAGAAAAACCCTCAAACTCCAAAAGGAAGTGCAAATGTGAGTCTAAAAAAACCACACCAGACCAAGCCACGAAATACCCAGAAAAAAAATGATCCTGACCTAAAAAAGAAAAAGGAAATTAGAAATGCTGCCAAAAGAGCTGCCAAAAAAACTTTAAGGGAAGCTGTTAAGAAAGTTGTAAAAGAAACTTTAAAAAGAAATAAATTTAAGCCCCAGACAAATCAAGAATTTGCACTACAGAGAATAGTTGTAAAACATACACAGCAGAATGGAAAGCAGACTTCTAATATAAAAAATATCCCAAAGGGCAACCCTCAGAAGAAAAACAACAAGAGGCCATCCCAAAGAGAGGACGCCCCTAACTTCAAGGTTCCGAGGAGGGAGAGTTCTGAGGACGACAGGCGCGTCAGCTTGAGACTACAGGAAGCGGAGAGGCAAAGGGCAGACAGCGAGCAAGGAGAACTGCAGAAACTAAAGGAAGACCTCGAGCGAATGAAGGGCAAACAGAGTCTGTTGGAGGAACAAATCATGACAATTGTGCAGACAATCCAGGAGAAAAATGACACCATGGAGACAATGAAAGCTGAAATTGCTTCACTTGAGAGGAGGATAACGATTGCGGAGGTAAAAAATAAAAAACAATAAATTGGTTAATATTAAAGAAGTCCTTCTTAAAAAAAAATCTAGTAAAAAATAATGCATTTTGATATTTTACTAAAACTATTTAAGAACTGGGATTGATATTAGAAAAGAAAAATGCTAGATTTTTAATTTTTGTTTTTGAGAAACTAATCTCTTGCGCTGTAAAACTGAGACACTAATTTCTATTAACATTTCCTTATTGATAAATGTAGGCCTGAAATTTTTTAACTACGAATTTTTTGCGAATGCATGGCGGCACTATAGACATTAGAAAATATTGGGTCCAAGGGATAAATCTCTAGGTTTTATATTTTTTGAAATCTTACATTGCGTCTTAGGGAATTTTTTTTACATTTTTCAAATTAAAAAAAAAAATCGGCCGGAATATTTTAGCTTAAAATTTTATTATTTAACATTTAAAATACTGCTTAACATAACTACAAAATAAAATTTGGCGGTTCATGGACATAAAAATTAACCTTTCTATCCTGACATTACTCTTATGAGAAAATTCCTAGAGTCTCCTAGTATATCAATAACTCATAACTTGGGGCAACTGGCCTGTATTATTATTTTGTTAATTGCCAAATTCTACGGCGTGATTCTAAAATTTGAATTTATTGTCTCTATTTAATTTTTTGTCTTCAAAATTTTACCCTGTTAATTCCAGGCTGGCAAACCAAGTTCCCTGAAAGAAGCTGTTGACCGAATAAGAATCAACCAAGAACCTCAACGAAAAACTCAGCTGATTGACCCTCAACCTTCTACCAGTTATGGAGACATATCTGTCAAGACCGAGAATGACGCTTTTGTATATGATTCTGAAAACTACTGTATAGTCTATACAGACGGCTGCTGCCTTAACAATGGAGGGTTTGAGCCAAAGGCAGGTGTGGGTGTTTACTTTGGAAATGGCCACAAGTAGTAAGTTTTAACAACTTTGATATTTCAGCTTTTTCACTGTTTTTTGTTTCCTTTTAGCAACATGAGCGAGCCTCTCACCAACTGCAAGCCAACAAATAACAATGCAGAAATACAAGCTGCTACCTTGGCCGTCATAGTGGCTAGTGGTGCAGGTGAAATTAAAATAGATTGAGGGTTCCATTATTTGGACAACTTATTTTTTCTAGGCATAAACAAGCTGAACATTCACACAGACTCGCAATTCCTGATCAAGTGTATGACTGAGTGGCTTCCAAGGTGGCTGAGTAACAACTGGAAAACATCCAGTAACAAACCTGTGGAAAATAAAGATCAGCTTGAGCTACTGGCCCACCACCTGGAAGACATTGAAGTGAAATGGGTAAGTGTGTGTTAAAGATTAATTTCTGTCCTTGTGCATTATTCATTCTAATTTGTAGACTTATGTTCCTGGCCATTCAAATGTACATGGCAATGAAATGGCTGACCGGCTGGCCAATGAAGGAGCTGCTAGATTTGTCAAAGAAACACAAGAGTGACCAAGTAAAATCACCAAGACATTCAAGGAATGTGTCTTTCTGATGGAAAATCAACACAAAAATTGGTATTCTTTAAGATATTTTCTGTTTTAGAAAAATATACATTTATCTCCAATAATCTTATCCTTTTTGAATTTATTTTAATATACCCTTCAAGGGTTAACTTTTCATTGTGAAGAAAAGAAAACTGGCAATAAATACAAAATTAATTTTTTAATAGAATTAATGTTTTTGCTTCCCTTTTTTCATTTTGCTTATTTAAATTGCCCTAAAATCTTTTAAGACTGTGTGATTGAATAAAAGCACTTCTACTATTTGCAACGTTGGCGCAAGACTGAATTATGAGCACGTGCCTTTGGCGCCCAATATTTTCGAACGTCGTCCACTCCCATTGGACTGTTGCCTAGCACAACAACAAACATGGCCGCCTTCACACGTGAATTTGAGTTGGAAAGTCAGAATTTGGTGCTGAATTTGCACCAAAATGTGGACGGCGACGTGAGTTGCGTGGTGTGGGACGCCGCGTTAGTGTTGGCCGGATTTCTGGACTGCGAAAACAAACGCCAAAACGGTTTTCTTAAAGGAAAATCCATCGTCGAACTCGGAGCCGGCGTTGGATGTGTCGCATTGACAGCAGCAGCCCTAGGGTAATACACTTCGTACTGCGTAGTTTGTTCACTGTGGTCATTACTGGCAAATTTCAAAATTGCAAATTTTGATTTTTTGACAATTCCTGTCATATTTGATAATTGTTTTTTAACTATTTCCAGTTTATTCATTTGCTCATCACATATTTACGTTTGGGACAGTGTTTACAATTGATTCATTGATTTTAATTTTTTTTCCTGAAATATTTGAATTATTTTCAGTCATGTGTTGTAGTCATCTTTTCAGTCTTTTTTTGTAATTTCGTTTTTATTCGTTCTCTTTTACATTGTCAAGACTTCTTCAGCTATGAAAACTTCTGCACCTCAAGCCTGTAGCCTGTGACCTGAGCCCCAAGAGAAATAAGAAGGTGTCGGATGGTCTTCTGTGTCCACATCCACAAGGAAAACTTCATTGGCCTGCAGATTGAAGGTGACCCTTCTTGGTCGGTCGTCCCAGTTGTCGCTGATAGTGAAGGTGTCTCCGTCCTGGGAAATTAAGTCGCTTGAGATGGACAGTGTCCGCACCCACTGCTCTGTGTAGCTCTCAGACGAGAGAGACTTTTCTGTCTCTTTCACCACTGTCCGATTTTCTGCAATACTTGGACACGTTGAGGCTGCAGGGCTGAGTGCATTGACGGGCCTCCCTGGACAATTCCATTTCTCTAGATCCTATAAAAATGATAAAATGATTAAATTTCTATGTTTAATTTTAAATCCATTATTTTTTATGTAATTGTTTGAAAAAGGTTGGATTTTTTTAATTATTAAATTCTTATAATCAAAAGAGCAATTAAATACGGTTAAATTTAGTTTTTCTGAGTAAATCTGATCCAGTCATTTTTATGTATTTATTTTAATTGCTGCATTAAATCAAAAATTGATCTATAATTTTTTATTGGAAGAAAATAATCATACAAGAAACAATTTTGCTTGAAAATTATATAACTTATTTAATTCTTAAATTATAAATCTTTATAAATAAAATTTCAATGCTGGAAATTCATAATTTGTTTATAATTATTTTTTCTTCCATTTCAATTAATCAAATTAACTCTCTGAAATTTTATGTAATTTATGATTAAAATAATAGTAATAATTTGCATATGATTGTTTTTAAAAGAATCATAAGAAATAACCCCTAATTTACCTCACATGTTGCGAGCAAGACTTGCTCCATAAAATAAATGAACTCCCGAGGACGTTGCTCCTTCTCGTTTCCCAAAACCTTGGGCTCGGCAATCTCAAAAAGAAATTCAAGCGCCATCCTCTTTGTCTCCAATTCTTTTTCCATTGGTCTCAAGAAGAAGTAGAGCAATCTCAGCAAAAAGCTTTTTTTGTTCTTCTGCCGGTTTCTTTGGAACCCAGGCTGCCTCCTCAGGACTTTGATGTATTCCTTCTGGATGGTTTTGCATGTGGTCTTGTAACACTTTTTCGAACACGCTTGTCCGACTAGTCGAGCCTCAAGCCTTGTCCTGCACTTGTCCATGACGGTGCTCAGTACGCTGGACAGGGATGCACTCCACAGCAGTATCTCATCAGACATCGTAAAGACCGAAATTTTTGACTGAAGGGAATGATTTTTACATCCATTTATAGAGTGCCTGATCAACAATCAAACGTAACAACAATTATTATTGTTGTCTCGAAATTTCTAGCATAACCAAAATATAAAAAACGGTGCATTGTTCATGATATTCATTTTTTTCATTATAATTTTTTCATCACAAATTATATCATTTTTTATATTTATTATTATTATTGTTATTACAAAGATTATTTTTATTGTTTTAAGGTACGCAATATTGAAAAAAAATTAGGAAAAAGAAAATTTAATTCATAATTTTTATAATTAACTGCAAAGTGCAGCATACAGCGTGACCCATATAATTCAATCACATCATAATTTGCTGCCATTTTTCAATAATTAGTTTTCTCGGCGGTATTTTGAAGTTCAGTTGTGGAAATTTTTTGGTATCATTGTTGCTACTAAAGTTGTGCTAAAATTGCAAACAAAATTTGACTAATGGGAATTCCTAGTTGAGTTTGGATTATTTTTTTCAATTTTCAAATTAATTTGCCGTTAAAAGTTTTTCTTCAATAAAAATCCGATGATTTTAGTTTGAAAATCTGCAAAATAAATTTAACGTTTCTGCACACATTTTATTGGGAAAGAAACGCTTCGGTAACTATTTACCTTTCTCATCAATTGTGCGAGCCAATCAGTCTTCTTACCAATTTTCATTGTTCAATGTACAATCTTAATTGGTTTTACACAAACTACAAAATCACTCAATTTAGCATTTTGGAAAATTAAATAACTACCAAGACATATAAAATATCACCAGTAAAATAAAATAACCTTACTTTAAAACGTAAAAATTTGGCTCATTTTTTTATTGTTCATTGGTATGCTATCAAATAATAATTCAAATGACGCACAAAAAAGTTAGATTTCTACAAATACCTCGGTATTTTTTTTAATGTGCCTGAATAAAAAAGCCCAATTATTCCTTTTTTTTCTTCTAACAAGTCGAAAAAATCAATAATAAAAAATGGTTGGTAACAAAATAAGCACACAGTTTTACAGAGGCGCTTTTTATCTCGAACCGCCCTCAAATTGCAGCAGAACAAACCTAGAATTATGTAACACTTGCTACGCTATAGAAATGCGTCACAACGAAAGGTTATCTTTTCCCCCTAATTCACATTGATTTTAATGAATATTTTAATATCACTTTAAAATTTTAATCTAAATAATCAGTAATAGCAGATAACTAAGAATTAAGACAATATATCAGAATGCAAAAATCTAACTTTAAACTATACCGTGAATAAAAGTTTATTTTAAAAATTTTTTAATCTGGAAAATTAATTAATTTACCTTCCCATTTTTCTTTATATTTGATGAAAACTAATTTCTTTATGTTGATACGTACTTCATTTCGTTTAAATATAATTATTATTTAAAAATTCTGATCCATTTCAATTCTTAATCTGCATGAAGAGGAGCCAATCATAATCAATTCAATTGGCTATTTATGTCATAATATTTTCAGCAAGGTCAAGAACAGTCAAGATCAAGATAATGTGCCGTAGCTTGGATGAGGAAGTGACCAAGTGACCTACAAATTTATTAATGTCTAATATCAGGATTTAAATTTAAAAAACTCATGCTTTATTAGTGCCCTCAGCCTAATATTAATTGTTTTCAATATCTGGAAACAATAAAGCCTTAATGTGAAAAAAAAAAATTATTGGTTTTCCAGGGCAAATGCAATTGCCACAGACCTTCCCGCTGTCATCCCTCTCATTGAAAAAAACGTCGAAGCAAACACAGACGCAATTCTGCAGAGTGGTGGGACGTGCACAGCCAGAGTTCTTGACTGGGCCGAAAAGTCCTTCGACTACATTCAAACCGACTACATCCTCCTTGCCGACTGCGTTTATTACGAACAAGTGAGTTTTTTCAATCCCTGATTTTTTTAAAGAATATTAATTTTTTTTTTAAATTAAGATATTTATTGAAGGGAATTTTTTTTTCAGTCTATTGAGCCGCTGATTAGCATCTTGCAAATGTTCAGTGATGAAAACACGACGATTTTCTTGTCTCAAGAGGTGAGAGATTACTCTTTCAAGCAAATTAAGTTTTGGGAGGACTTTCAAGAAATGCTGGCCAAATACTTCAGGGTAAGCAAAATTAATAGGGAAAGGCAGCATCCCTACTTTTACTCCGACGACATTTTGCTCCTGGAACTGAAACTAAAAGGCAACACTGAAAATTGATTATTATTCGATCTCACCCTTGTACAAATACAAATTAGTTATTATATAAAGCAATTGACTTGCGGAAGTCTGAAAATATGCCTCAATAAAATTTGACTGACAAAAAAAACTGAATCAAATTTAAACTACTTAGAATAATTTTAAAATCTTCTCCGGATAAATTTTTAAAATTGAATCCTTGAAGTAAAATATACTGAATTTTTATTCATGATCTTAAATTCTAATTTCCTATGTTCCGCTGGGTGGATTTTAGGATTAATTTTTAATATCACTTAAATATTGCGTTATTGAATTTGATTGTTTTTTAAAAAGTGTATTAAAAGAAAACCAGGGGCCGTTCACGAATGATTTAAGATAAATTGGACAGATTTTTTTTTGTTACGAGCACCACTCTGATTTTTAGATATGTTGTTAGGGTTGATGAGAAACTACTTTGACCAAATTTTTAGACCAAAATATTTATTACTTTTTGAAATATTCGGGTTTTTTGAAAAACTCAAAAATGCTTATATCTTTGCTCCTCTTAGTTTTAGAGCAATTTGGTTTTCACTATAGTAGGTAACTTTTTATTCTGAACAATTTTGCTGTTGACCAAATTGCCCTAGGTCAAAGGTCAAGGTCATTAAAATGCATTTTTAGTTTTTGAGGTCATTTTTCTCAAAGAAGCGTATTTTTGATATTTTTTTAGCAAATGCAAAAAATGTAGCCCGCGAAATTCTACATCTGGTCCGAAATATTTGCGATGGCGTATATCTTAGTTTTTTAGTTATTTTAATTTAAAATTAAAAAGATGCGTTTTTCCGATATGCGGTATTTTGACATTTTTCTGTTATATTATTTCTAAGCAGCCTAGAGCAATGCGGTTTTCACTACTAGACCTATTTTTTAATTTTGAACAACTTTTCCGTTGACAAAAAATACCTAGGTCAAAGGTCAAGGTCAGTAAAATGCATTTTTAATTTTCTAGGTCAATTTTCTCAAAGAAGCGTATCTCAGATTTTTTCCGCAATATAGAAAAAAATGTTGCCCATGAAATTCTACATCTGGTTGGAAAAATTCAGAATGGCGTTATTTTTAGTTTTAAAGATATTTTAATAAATATTTAAAAAGTTCGTTTCCGTATATAATATTCTGACCCTTTTTGCCTTTTTTTTTTATTCTTATTGAAATATCTTTTAATCTAAAAATAATGCCATTCTGAATTTTTCCTACCAGATGTAGAATTTCATGGGCAACATTTTTTTCTATATTGCGGAAAAAATCTGAGATACGCTTCTTTGAGAAAATTGACCTAGAAAATTAAAAATGCATTTTACTGACCTTGACCTTTGACCTAGGTATTTTTTGTCAACGGAAAAGTTGTTCAAAATTAAAAAATAGGTCTAGTAGTGAAAACCGCATTGCTCTAGGCTGCTTAGAAATAATATAACAGAAAAATGTCAAAATACCGCATATCGGAAAAACGCATCTTTTTAATTTTAAATTAAAATAACTAAAAAACTAAGATATACGCCATCGCAAATATTTCGGACCAGATGTAGAATTTCGCGGGCTACATTTTTTGCATTTGCTAAAAAAATATCAAAAATACGCTTCTTTGAGAAAAATGACCTCAAAAACTAAAAATGCATTTTAATGACCTTGACCTTTGACCTAGGGCAATTTGGTCAACAGCAAAATTGTTCAGAATAAAAAGTTACCTACTATAGTGAAAACCAAATTGCTCTAAAACTAAGAGGAGCAAAGATATAAGCATTTTTGAGTTTTTCAAAAAACCCGAATATTTCAAAAAGTAATAAATATTTTGGTCTAAAAATTTGGTCAAAGTAGTTTCTCATCAACCCTAACAACATATCTAAAAATCAGAGTGGTGCTCGTAACAAAAAAAATCTGTCCAATTTATCTTAAATCATTCGTGAACGGTCCCACCAATGACTATTTTTTCCCGATCCAATCCAATATCATATAAATCAATAAAGGTTTTAACTATCAATTAAAATGAATCAAATTGAAAAAAAAGTATTAAAAATGCTGTTAAAATGAAAGTTCCTAAGAAAAGAAAATCCCTTTATCCAAATTTTGCTAGTGTGATCATGATCAGCATAAAGTTGCTTTGTTTTTGACAGCTGGCCGTTTCTGCAACCAAGTAAAGTTATCAATATTGTGTTGTCTTTATCTGACAGAAGGTTAATTTAGAGATTATTTAATTAGTCGCAGAGAGATCAAAATACAGAATGATAATAAGATCCTTGTTGCGATGAAGTTATTGAAAAAAATTAAAGCTATGCAACGCGATCCTGTTTAGCATCAAAATTCTGAACTCTCAAAAAGTAACTTGAAATCATGAAATTTGAATATCAAATTTCTTTTTTCCGATGAATTAACTCTATCAAAATTAGAATGGAAAAATGTCCCAATTTAGATTTTTTTGCCATATTTCGATCCATAACTTTTTTAAATTAAATTATTTTTGGATATCAAACAATTTGATATCAATATTGCTTATAGCGATGAAGGAATTGATTTACCTTAAATATTAAAATTATCTTTTTTTATGTTATAATAGATTTTACTATGTATTAAGGGTGTCTTCGTTCAAGAAAAGAATAATTGCTGTGCTTTTTCTTCTATCTATTCCACTACATAAACAAAAATCATTCGCACAACGCGAAACAATGAAATATCACAGAAAACACAAGTAGTGCAATCGGCTGACTAGGAGAAAATAACAGCAAAATGCGGCGTTTGAAACCACCAGCGTCGAGATCAGAGGATAATTCTGGCGTTGACCAAATACTATTCAAGTTTGTTGAGGAATTGGGCGATGGTATCGATGTCCTCGCAGTCGGGTATCAACTTGCCCTTGAACTTGACGCACCAGTCGGCGCACATTTGGCCCTCGAAGTAATCGCCGAACATCTTCTTGCACTGGGCGCAGTTGCGGATGCACACGGCCAGCGGGTTGCCCTCGGCCACGAGCACTCCACACACCAACAGAGCGACCAGCACCATCAGAGCTCTTGCGCGGATCTGAAACGCATCGAGTCAATCTGCAGTTGGCACTTGGCAGCAAAATGTATCTTGCAGAATTTTGACACAAAAAAATGCGACAAAAATATGTGCAAAACCGATAATGGACTTTCTAGTTACAAATTTTTTTACAAGGATTTATATAACAACTACATATTTTATCAAATGAAATTTAGCATGGTTAAAAATGGAGTTTTATGTTAGTAATTAATTTAATTTTTTTTTAATTTATAGTTAAATAATTAATAAATTATGATTTTGTCACTAATTTATTGAACACGATATGCATTTTAATTAATAAAAAAATATACTAAATGGGTTACGTACAGAGGCTGCAAATGAGCACGTAAGAAGTAATCTAGGAAAAAGTAAAACATTTCCTGCCTCAGCGAAGGCTAAGATGTCAGAAATAACATGCACCAATTTAAAAATTCCATCAACGCGTGTATGTGTGAGTACTGAAAAACGCTGCCTGGTATACATAATAGAGGAAGCAAAATTGAGACCTCTTTAAAAGGAAAAAAATTATTTAGTGCCTGCAGCTTCAAAGAAATTTAATGTCAACGTAAATTGCTGCTATAGAAAGTTATCGGTCAGACTTGCTGAAATTTTGTTTCCAGCTCGCTTGCTTAATTTAGATTAAAAATTAACTCACCATTTTAAATGAGGTTTGGATAAACGGGCTGCTACCAAAAAGGTCGGTCTGATTTGCACTGGTGATGTACTGACCTGCACAATAATAGTGAAGCAAACAAGTTTAAAGTAAGTTTGTAGTAAACAAGGTAATTTTATATAATTGGGTTGCCAACATGTAAAAATGTGATTATATTTCCAAATTACGGATTTTTTTTAAATATTTCCTACAAAAATTTAAAAATCAAAATTCGGCGCAAAACGGAAAGTGCGCAAAAAAATTCGCGGGATTCCTGTTGGTCCAGAGGATGCGGAAGGAGCAACTCGCGCGTGCTTGCGGCAGATGGACGGCGAAATAATCTCAAGGCTGTGGCCAATGAATGGACTGGACAAGGCCTTTTCGAGTATTTTATTTTACGGCCACACCGCGGATATGAACAATAAAAAGAGGTTTCCAAGCCGTCTCTGTCTGCGCGCATGGGAACTTCCTGGATTCCGACGCTGGACTCTCCGCGGCTGCATCTCTCTCGCGATCAAATCAATCACGCACGTCAGCCCCTCCAACAAATCGCTAATTTGAAAAAACGCTTGCGAGCTGCAACTGAATTATTGCGTCGAGGAAGCGATCGCAAGAGATATTGTTTCAATAATGCAGATCACGTCTGTCTGATGCAAATTCGGCGCATTTCTTATCACACACTGTGAGATAAAAATTTTCATTTTTTTTATTACTATCATATATATTTATTTTGTTAAATCAAATCATTTTGAAATTTGATTATCATAATTTAATATTTAATCTTTTTTTAGCAATAAGTTTTAAAAATTATGAATTTCAGAATTAATTTTTTTCTTAAATCAACTTCAGAAGTTTTGAACAAAAATTGATAGGAATCTTTTTAATAATCTTAAAACTTACCACACGCCTCTCTTTCTTGATTGATTGAGACTGAAACATTTAAATTTCTTTTATAGTGAAGCAAATACTATTGCTCCGCCAGGGAAAGTCTTGAAACGAGAGATGGAAATAAATAATGTGATGAGCAGATCCTGTCATTCAAGTCTCCATGTGGGTTTTATATTTATAAATAAAGTGGAGTGATTAGTAAAAAGCTTCCTGTTTGCCGGCACCGCCTCATCTGGTTCTTTGTCGCGCCGCTAGCGAGAACGCTCTCATTAGTTTTTAATTAATTCGTCTGTCAACCGCGACCTTGTCCGATCCTCACGTATGATATTTGCAGGCGAAACTCATTTGACAAAATTCACTTTCTCTCGCGCCGCTTTTTATTTATATACGTGCACCAAGCCACTCTAATACGTCAGAGAGAGTGCAATTGCCTTATTTACCTTTATAGTTCAGTAGGGCAAGTTCATCTCAGCGGTGTCGAGAGCGCGCGTAACCGTCAGTTGTGTTTATAGATTTGAATTGAACTCTCCCGGTCTAGACTTTATTCTTACAGAGCTTTGAATTTTTTTTTAATTATTATTTTTTTTCAACACGTGCAAATCGTATTGCATGCAAACTTGTTTATTAACTGATGATGTCGGTAATTAAATTTATATGGAGTGGTATTTTGTAAAAAATTGCCCATATGTTGTCGATTGGTGCTGCGGTTTTTGCAAAACGCCGCTCATTACGAGGCAAATGTTTGTTTATTCGTATTTGATTGATCCAACTAGTTTCTGCGAACCGCAAGTTGTGAAATGTGTGACATTGCCGGCGCCTGTCTTCTCCATTCCTGCGACCCTTACCTAACGTTTTCTCGAAACACCGTATTTCCATTCAACTTTCCTCCTTTCAATTATTGTAAATAAATTAATTAAAAATTTAATAACCTGGGTATGCAAATTTACAGGGCAACTGTATTTTGATTAATTAAAAATAGTCGACCAATCACAATGTTATTGAAAATTTAGCGTCCGTTAAAAATAATAAATAAAAGTGAAAAAAACCAAACCAAGCAAATTATATTGAAACTGATATATAATTGTGCATCAAACTTTTTTTATGTTTTTATCTTAATATTTAACAATCCCCAGGGCTAATAATTGCATGCAAAACGAATGGTTCATTGAGTGCGTAAAACAAATTCATGTTGCAAGTGAGAGATGCACTTACCAGCTAGGAGCTAAGTCGTGGAGTGGACTGAGGCGGCAGTCGAACTGATCCATCCTAGGGCAGGAGGACGGTTTATATAATACAAAGCAATCACCGGTCCTTCCTGCTGCTCGCAAATCTTATTTCGGCCCCCCACAGCCTCTTTTCCCGCACCCATTACCGCTTCCTCGGCACTCGCACGCAATTTGATTATTGCCCAAACTATACATGCATGCACAGCCTCGGAATGCTGTCTGGTGTAAAAAATATGCACGTGGCACTTCATAAAATAAAATAAAAAAATATTGATCTCATTAATTAAAGGTGAAATTCAGAGAGGAATGTACTGAACACAAGAAATGAAAAATCCAAAGTCAATCATGTATTTAAGTGCAAATTGAAAATTATTGTTGCCTTTGTTTTATCCTGATAACTTATTTTTGCAATAATATACACGTTTCTAACTGAATAAGGATTATTTATCCAATATAATTACTTTTAACACAAAACAAATAATATAATTTTTAATTAAACGTATTACAAAGGCAAAATTAGAACGATCTCATTTAATCATTTACAAGGTATTTTTTTTTCAATTTGCAAAATAGATTTATTTTTAATAATTAAAAAAAATACAAATTATTATTTTTTGTATATTGCTTTCATCGCCTTTTATCTCTAATCCGGCGCCACTTTGTGATGTAACTTGGTTAGAGCATTTCACTTTATAACGCCTAGTTTTTTTTTTCAAAGTCATCTGTGTAGTATTGTCACAATAAGTTTGGCAAGACTCACTATGGGTTTACCACTAAAATCTGATTCATTTTTTTCATTCATCATTTCTAGGAACTGCTATTTAATCTTAATCAATAAAGCGCTATAGAAAAGTGAAAGTGTGAATGGGCTCTTTCATTAATGTCCAGCCGGTGCAAAATATCAATATAACACCACACAAAATAAAAAAAAATAGTTTTGCCACAAGTGCGATGGAAAACTCAATGTCTAAAAATATAATGTAATTTGGTTGTAAAAAATCAGCATGGGAAAAAGCGCCAAAAAAATTGTGGTTTTATAGTATATGGAGGAATTGTTAAAAAATATAACACATTAGTCACGTTTTAGGTTATAAATTGACAATCGTTTGATATTTTTTTTAATTTAAAAAAATTAGCAAATAATTTGATTAAACTGTGGCACTCCTCAAACAAACTTGAATGTGTTTATGGTGCAAAAATTAATTGGTTCCAAAATTATTTAAAAATGTAAAGAAAATTTATATTCATTAAACGGATGAGATGCAAGTAATGAATAGAAATCTTAAAAAAATCGCTACAGAAAATTAAAATCGTGACATTTGTGTCAAATTTAAGGAAAATTGTGTAGGGTGTGAGCCTGATTTGAGCTAATTGATTAATTAAAAGGGTAATGTAATAATTACATTTTCAAATTTAAATAAATAATTTATTGACCATGTGAAAAATTATAAAAATATCAGTTTACCAAAGAAAAAAGAAACGGAGATTACGAATCACGATATTTCAGATTTTTTTGTGTGAAAATATCTTTAGAAAATAACTTAATAGAATCTCCTTTTACAATTAGTGGGACAAACCGTAAATATATTTCGTCAATAAATTATCAATATTGATATTTATCAAATATAATAGTAAAAAGACAGGCAAATGAATACATTGCTTTAACCAAAACTAATGTGAAATTTAATGAATTATGCAGCCTGCTCTTAAATAAAAAAAAAATTAAATGAAAATTTGTGGAACTTTTAATTTTGAATTTACATCTGAATTAAACCTTATCTACAATTTTAAATAAATTTCTCAGCAAAAACTAGCTTTTCTCCCAATATTTCTTACTCCAACTATAAATAATAATAAAGTACAATGTTGCTTACTTAAAAATGAGCCTCGACAAAAAAAAATATTCGCGGTTTGTCGATACTGTGCCGCTGGACACGAATGTACTTTCGGCCCACTAACCAGGTGGCAGCAGGCGTCCACCTTGCCATCCGCAGCTGACGAGAAGCACCAGAAGGACGAAAGGCGAAAACAACAACAACACGCACCAAATCGTCGCCGTCGCCCCGTCTGGCTTTTATCTTCCCGAAAACGCTCGTTTGCTCATCGACGGTGCGATGCTGTAGAAACGACTTGGGGGCCTCGTACGAGAACGACGTCGTTCTCCGTCCGACGCACTATAGCTGGTGAGAGCGCAACCTTTTGAACTTTGCCCACATCTCTCCCCATCATACGTCTTCTTGTCTTTCTCAAGATTTTCATTTTACGGTTGGTCTTTGCAGTTCCGGTCTTGAAAGAGGGAATCATGGAGTTGCTCAAGCAAAATCTCAGGCTGGAGCCGGAGGACGAGGAAAGGGTGGTTTACCAGCAACCCCCAGAACTTTTTGCCCAGGGCTTTGTCCTTATGGAGGAAATCCGGCGACAGGGCAAACTGTGCGACGTCACCCTCAAGGTAACATTTATGCAGACTAAATTTCAATTAGATCAAAATAATATAATAAAAAAATTTTCTATAACTTTAATGTAATGATCCACGTAAAATGTAAATTAATTCCATACATGCCAACTCTGATAGTGAAATCAAACCTCGAAACACAATCTTCTAACAAATAACACACTCGTACGGAATATATTTAATAAATATTATTTTAAAATCGGATGATCCATGCTCTAATCTCAATAAAATGCTTAAAACAAATTTATTTACCGACAAAGTGGTATGTGTTTGTACCATTATTAAGGTGCAGAGTTAAGTTTTTTTTGTCCTCTAAAGAGAAAATTTATGTGCTCATATAGTTAAGTTCAATGCACTTTTTTTTTAAACATTTTTATTTATATTATTATTACTAATTCCAAAAATTTTAATATTAGAATGCAGCAATTAAAAAAAAGCAAAACAAGGATTTTAATTTTTTTCTAAATTCTAATTTAAATCATTATTTTAAAATTATTCAAATATTTGATCAAACTTCAGATTATGTAAATATGTCACAAGGTTTTTCCAGAAAACCATAGTTAGGCCTCAAGGATTGCCGCTTTGATTCCGCATTCAGTCTTATCAAACAATAAAAAAAAAAAACATCCGTTTCAGGTTGACGACCAAAGTTTCACTGCGCACCGCATCGTTTTGGCTTCGACCATTCCATACTTCAACGCCATGTTCACCAACGACATGGTTGAGAGCAAGCAAAAAGACATCACCATTCAAGGCATTGACGCAGAGTAAGCAAATTCACATCCTTGTTGCTGCTATCTTGCAACTGCTAAAATTAAAATCAGTGACCTTGTTTTTAGAGTGCAAAAGTGCATGTTCGGACTTTGATACAGTCCGAATTATATAATTTTTTCTTTTTGATGACGACGATTAAACAAAATTGTTGCCTTTAACTTTTTTAATACATGTATTATTTTATTCGCCAGATTTTAAAAATTTGATTTTCAGAGCTTTGGAGGCGTTGGTGAATTTTTCATACAGTGGCCGAGTGTCCATCGACAACAACAACGTGCAGTCACTCATGATCGGCGCGTCGTTCTTGCAGCTGCACAAAGTGCGCGATGCGTGCGCCTCTTTCTTAATGGGAAAGTACGTTGCAATGCAATTCAGGCCACGCATTTATTTTTGGCCACAGCCTTTTGTCAACAAGATCTCAACACTTCCTGTTTTGAGCTCAAATTAAATTCAAATAATATTAAAAACCATTCAATTATATTAAAATACTAAACAAAAATATCTATAATTTTTACCAATTTATGAAGATTGCATCCGCAAAATGCACTTGGGATATGCAATTTTGCCGACACCTTGAGTTGCTTATCGCTCGTCCAAGCTGCGGAAAAATTCATCCAGCACCACTTTGCCGAAGTGTCCGTCACAGCAGAGTATCTCAACTTGCCAATCCAAAATGTCTCAGATCTGACTTCCAGTGACCAGCTTCACGTAGCATCAGAAGAAACAGTAAATAATGATTATTATTTTTTTCTAAGTTAAATATTGCTTTGGTAGGTCTTTGAAGCAGTGCTTCGTTGGGTGAAAAAGGACCCGGCTGCAAGAACACAGCATTTGCCGCAACTCCTTTCTCTTGTTCGCCTGCCCCTTCTCACACCTCAATATCTGGCAGACAGAGTTGCGACGGAAGAGTTGATCAAAGGCTCACATAAGTGCAGGTGATTTAATCTATTTTTTGTTCTAGCTATTTTTATTATTAAGATTAATTTTAGAGATCTGTTAGACGAGGCTAGAGATTATCACCTCCTTCCGGAAAGACGAGGTTTGGTGCAAGGGTTCAGAACCAGGCTACGAAGCTGTCACTGCATGGTCGGACACATATTTGCTGTCGGCGGCTTGACTAAATCAGGTATGTTTTCCTCTCAATAACAATTCAAAGAATAATAATAAGATAAAAATTGTTGAATTTAGGTGATTCTTTGAGCACAGTCGAAGCCTTTGACCCCATCACCGGTCGATGGGATCAAGCAGAGCCGATGAGCATGTTGCGAAGCAGAGTAGGGGTTTCTGTGATGAGGGGAAAATTGTACGCCATTGGTGGCTACAACGGCACTGAAAGATTGTCAACGGTGGAAGTTTTTGATCCCGTGCAAAAAATATGGAACAAAGTTGCTCCAATGCACTACAAAAGAAGGTAATAATATTATTCTTAAAAATATATTATTTATTCAATTCAAGTCTAAAGTTTTGATTTAAAATGAAAAAAATTATACAGAATTAAGAGCATTTATGGGGATTTTATTTTTTTAATAACTTTCTATGGCTTAAATTAAATTAATGCTCCACAATGGATCTTACTTTTGGGAAAATAATTTGTAACTTCAGCTAATTTGTGACTTTCAATTGTTTTAGTGCCGTAGGGGCTGCTGCTCTTGGCGATCGGCTCTATGTCTGCGGCGGATACGACGGAATCACCTCACTGTCCACAGTTGAATGCTACCATCCCGACAGAGACGTTTGGAAGCTCGTGCCGGAGATGAACAAGCACCGAAGTGCAGGCGGAGTAGTAGCTTTCGAAGGACACATTTATGCACTCGGTGGTCATGATGGTCTGTCAATTTTTGATTCGGTGAGTTCAATCAAACCCTTTTTACCCTTTTGAATTGTTCTTATTTCTTATTATAATCTAAGGTGGAAAGATATTCTCCCCATACTGGACAGTGGACATCCGTGACTTCCATGCTCACTCAAAGGTGTCGTCTCGGAGTGGCAACGCTCAATGGAAAGCTCTATGTGTGCGGTGGCTATGACGGCTCAACTTTTCTCGAAACGGTCGAAGAATATGATCCAGTAAAAGACAAGTAAGTTCTTGTTCAGCTGAAACATTTATCTTAATTTCTAGATCAATGTGTAATTTGAAAATTTAACTATATAAATTCATCTTTTGTAATAAAATTTAACTTACTAAGTAGGGAAGTTAAGCGTTTTCTAATTTTGATTTTTTTTTATCTCAGATGGAGTTTCATTGCGCCCATGAATGTGATGAGGAGCAGAGTTGCTTTGGTGGCAAACGCAGGCAAGCTTTGGGCCATTGGTGGCTATGATGGGGTCAGCAACCTTTCCACTGTTGAGTGCTACGATCCTGAAACCAACAAGTGGAGTTTTGTGTCTCCGATGTGCGCTCACGAAGGAGGAGTCGGGGTCGGTGTTGTGCCGATGGTGTCTGCTGCGCTGCACCAGCCGTGGGAGTCGGTGAGAACTAGTCTTTAAAAATGCACATAATACTTGGTAGGAAAAATCTCAATTGTAAATTAACAAATTTTCCATTAATTGCATTTCATTTTTTGACTGGTCAAGTCTTGAAAATTCTATTGAATACAACCTGAAAAATTGGTACAGGAATGTTGCTTGAAATTTAAAAGTTAATCTGAGAAATTGATTGTTTTAAGACTGTTATTATTTATTTCTTGCCAATGGCAACATTTAAAATGTTAGCTTGGTTTATTGAAGCAATATGTTTAGACCGACGCCTTTCATTACAGCTCATGGCATTGTTTATTGAGAGTTTAGTTGATAAATTTTCCATTTTTAACCTCTGACCCTATTCCATAGTTTTCTTTTTTGAAGGTCGGATATATATTAAATGAATATTCCACAAAGGCATTTTTGCCGATTTTGCTATAATTATTATATTATTTGTGATGGTGGAAAAGACTTATATAATTTCCATGTAATTTTCAATCGTATTGTTTGAGTCATTTGAAATGAATTCATTGAATTTTCCCAAATTGTTGCATATATTTTATTTCATCGAGAATCCAAGTTAAAGTCATCCCCTGCCGCTGGAGCGGCTGTTGTGGCCACCTTTGCTTTAGTTGTCTCTGCAGTTTTGGAGGTTTCACTTGCTGCTGCATCTTTTGTTGCTTTTGCTGTCTTTCCAGCTTTGGCGGCTTCAGTAGTTGCTGCGTCTTTTGTTTCTTCTTCATCATTGGATCCTGTTGCATCACTACCACCATCCTCGGTGTCATCCGCTGCTGGTGTTGATTCTGTTACTGCACGATTTGTACTAGCAGCGGATGTTCCGGCAGACTTTCTTGCAGCTCCCTCAGCTTTTGTGGATGTCACTTCGGACGATGACGTTGATTCTGTTGGACTACTGGAAGCAGCTGAATTTGAAAATTCAAGTTTTTGAAAACACATTTAATTTTTAAAACTATTTTTTAGACCTTCCTCCTCCCCATTGCCACCTCCATCATCAGCTCCAGCATCTTCATTTGGCTCCGACGTTTCCCCATCATCTCCATTTCCAGTTGCTGCCGCTGTGGTGGATCCTCGCCGTTTTGGCCTGGTGCTCCTTGCTAACGGCGCACTGTCAGTTTCGTCACTGTAATAATCGTCCTGTCCCCCATAATTTTGATTGTCAGTTTTGCCTCCATTTTTTCCAGAACCACTTGGAGGAAAAGCTACTGCTCCTCCGCCGCCACCGAAATTGCTCCCAGTGTCAAAAGAAAAGAAATTATTTGTCCCTCCTCCTTGACCAAAGCCATTATTCCCTTCGGAAGGTTGTTGATTATTCCAGGTCGGATCGCCTCCCACACCGAGCAGGTTGAGCGCCCCCGGCCAGTTATTGGGGCAATTGGAGCAAGTGACCGGAATTCCGATCTCGTAGTCAGGGTAGACGGTCAGCATATCCGGCCACCCCGATGGACAGCCTGCGCAGGAAATGTGGATGCCTTCGGCGGTGAAAACTCCATAAGCCCGCAGCTGGTCCAGGTTGACTTTTGGTCTTTTCTTTCTCTTGCGTTTTCCCGAGTACTGCATCTCATTGACAAACGCCGACTCTTTTTCTTTCTGGTCCTTTGCCACCTGTCGCCGCTCATAGTTAGCCGTACTCCCATCACTGCAAGTCTGAGAGCCGCAGCATTTCACCATCAACTGCCGATTCTGTGCTCTTTTAACTCGAGCTGAAAATTTGAAATAATTAATTCATTTAAAAATTAAATTATCATTTAACATTTCACCGTGAGAGGATTTGTTGAATTTTGATTTGAAGGAATTATCCTCAAGCTGTTTTTCTGACCCAATTATGAAAATTGATTTGAAGAATGCTGCAATTTTCCGCCAAAGAATTGAAGCTTTATTTTCGTTTGATTCGGTTTTCTCAAAGTCTTCATGATTCACATTTTTGGTGGTCTGTCGTGTTTTCCAAATCCATGAGATGTCATTGTCGTCCACCAAATCCCACATGGAATCGCTCTGCTCATCGTTCCAAATGCTTTCCGACCTGTGGTACGCTAATGTTGCCTGTTCAAACTTCAATAAATAAATAAATTATTATAACATAATATAATAACTTGCAGTAATAGCACATAATATAAATAAAGCTTTAACGGGCCATTGCGTCATAATAAATTGTAATGTTCAAACATCATTTGAGCACCATCGGTGCCACAATGCAAAAGCCTGTGGCTGGCATCATTGGCCTAGTTGGAACCAAACATCCGCTTCAATGACGCGGGAAAATATAGAGCAGAAAAATTAATTTTCCTCAAAACTGGATTTTTGAACTTTTTATATTTTATTATCCTTATTAAAAATAAAGTAATTCTATTAAATTCCATATTATAGATTATAGGATTGATAATTGTAAGCGATTTATTACCATGAAATTTTTTTATTATAATTATTTATTTGAAGAATGAGAAAAGCCAAAAGAGGTGATAATTTTTAACTTTTGATGTGATGAATGGAAAAAATATTAAATTAAGTGTTCTATGTTTATAGATTTTTATAATTTCAAATATTTCTCAAATTATACAATATTGTTTACGTTTTGAAAGGAAATAATAGTAAGTGATCACCTTTTACTTGAGAGAATTTTAATAAAAAAATAATTCTCTTATTCCAAAATATAATATGGTATAAAAGTTTTTTTCTGGTTTGTTTCTATTTCAGAATATTTTATTCTTCTTCTTCATTATAATCTCCCTCCTCTTCTCCTTCATCGGCAGCCTGATCGGTTGCGGATGCGGACACGAAAGCAGTGTTATTCAATGTGAGGAAGGGTTTTGAAGAAGTAACCAAACGATAATTCCCCGCTCTACTCTCCCGCGGAGAAGTGTCATCAGAATATTCGTCATAGTTGTTGTTATAATCTGCACCCCCACCAATATCAGCATCAGGCACGTTGCTTGCCGGTGGCGCCGGTGCCAGACCTCCACCTCCGAAATTGCTGCCCGCGTCAAAGGCCATGAAGTTGTTTCCCGCCATTCGTGTGTTTGGATCGGACTGGGCCCACGACGGATCGCCGCCCACCCCTAGCAAATTCAGAGCACCTGGCCAGTTTGACGGGCAGTTCGAGCAAGTGACCGGAATGCCGATCTCCATCTCGGGATAAACCGTCAGCATGTCGGGCCACCCCGAGGGACACCCTGCGCAGGAGATATGGATTCCAGCGTCCGTGAAGACCCCGAAGGCGTGCAGCTGGCTCAAGTCGGTAGGTGAACCCTTTTTCTTTTTCCGCCGTTTTTTCATTCTGCGCGTGTATTGCATCTCGCTGACAATCTCGGCCTCCTGCACTGGGTACACCGGGACCTCTCTTCCTTTGTAAAGTTTGTATTCTGCCAGGGCGCCCTCGGAGCACGCTTGGTCCCCACAACATTGAATCGCAATGCTGCGTTGAACCTGTCTTTTGACACGCGCTGCAAATTATAATGCTTTATTATTTGATTTGCTCTAAATTTTAGAGCTACATTTGTAGAAAAATCTAAATAATTTTTTTGATAATGAGAAATTTTTTTAATTGTGAAAAGATTTTCCAAATTGGTGATTTGGTGAAAAAAGCTAAATAGAAAATACTAGAATTTAATACATTGTTTTTGAATAAAAATTAATAATAATACAAAAAAATAGCTAAAACACATCAACCTATAATAAAAATAATACATCTTTTTACTTATACATACATTTTGTCACATTTTGGTGAGATTGAATTGGAATATCTGGCGAAGAGAAGAATTTTATCAAGCCACTTTTTAATTCTTTTGCCGCGTTGTTTAAATTTGAAATGAGATTTTCTGCGAATTGGAAGCTTCCTTGATATATAGATTCATCTTTTTGTAGTCTGTTGATGACAATTTTGGCGTCCACCTTAAATATTGCAATTAAAAAAGTGATTAAAAAATTATATTTTTATATTTTAAAAATAAGTTTTTTGTGGTAAAAGTTGAAGTTAATACTTACGCCATTAATTGCAGTTAATATAGTCAAATACACAAGAAGTGATAAATTTTGGAAATCCATTCTACGATTATCATTTTCAAACGCTGTTGCTTGATTCAGAACACATTTATATTGAGCACAAAATCACGGGTCGGAAGAGAAAACTGCGGCTGCGTTTTATACTGTCAGAAAATTCTAGCATAAAATACGTGCGCAACTTCCGCTATCAATCAAGCAGCCTCGTTTTGGAAACTGCTATTCCCAATCAGATAATAATGGATGTGAAAATTGAAATCGCGGTCAATGTATAAAAAAGTAAATTTTATTTCAGTAAAAAAGTAAATACATTAAATCAATTAATTTATTCAACCTAACATAGCAGCCAGTCCTCCGAGATTATCCGGCAATTTTATGCCAGCTGGAATTGTAAACCCTGCAGGTAGGGCAAGCGCAGGTTTTGAAGTACTTTGTAGGGTTTTCGCAGTGGTTGTACTTGTAGGAGGTGTTGTTGATGATGAGGTCACATTTTCAGTTGTGCTCTCTGTTTCTGTCGTAATCTCTTGAGAAGAAGTGCTTTCTTCAGTGGAAGCCTCCTCTGAAGAAGAAGCAGTTGTTTCCTCGGAGGTTGTATCTTCACCCTCTTCAATTACTTTGGTCTCAACTTCAACCTCGTCAGTAGTTTCCTCTGCGTTATTCCCACTGTCCTCTCCATCCTTTTCTGGCTGTTCAGTGCCTGATTCCGTCACATTAGTCTTGAAATTGCTGGGCAACAGTTTCCTCCAGCCAGGTCCGCACCCTGGACACTTAACGGCGACGGTGCCCACGCCGTCGCCCAGCCTCAAATCGTTCTGCCACCCGTCGGGACAACCCGCGCAAGAAATGCTCAACCCGCCTGAAACGAATTTGGCTACGGCTGTGTATTTTATCCCGGGACGCTTTTTCTTCTTCACAATGAGTTGGTTCTTGGCCTGGTCAAATCCGAGCACCTCGTATTGTACTCGCCTCTTGGTGACTCTGGTGCCGTTAAATGTTGGATCCATGCACGCTTTCAAACCACAGCAATTCATAATCCGCCTTTTTACTATTTCTTTCAAATTTTAAAAATAAAATTTAAGTAAAATTTTCTTTCCACGAGGAAGATTTTTTGCATTGATTCAACTAACCTCTTTTTCTCCTAAAATGGTCATTCCTAGAATTAAATTTTAAATCCTCCATGTTATCAAAAGTTTCATCAAGTATAGTGTTAGTCCTGTCAGTGTTAAGTGCTAAGTCAATGGCTCGCAAATCGGAGAATCGAATTAAGAGGGCGAGAAAGAAAAAATTCTGAAAAACAAAATAAAAATTCATCTAATGACATATAGAAAAAAATTATGGGAATAACTTCATTTTAGTCCTTAACTGATTAAAACAAAATAAAATAAATTAGTACCAAAAATGATGCAGCAATAGGGTCCATCTCGATTGGCAAGCAAAGCGATTGTGAAGCGTTTGGTTCTAGTGTGCAGCTAACAGCCATGAACTAAATTTTTCAATGCAAGAACAAGACCTTGATGGAAACTGAAGGTTTTTGATTATTTGAGCACAAACAAAACTTCCCCGAATTCCATGATTATTAAAGGTACATGTTATGAAAAAATATATAAATAAAAATAGAAGATTCTTTTCTTGAATTTTAATTATTTTATTTTACTGCAAATCGTATAGTATGATTCACTAAATAGTAATAGTATTAATTTTAAAAGTATAACTGCTGGGATTTTAAAATTTTAACGGCCCAAAAGACCTCCGAGGAGACCTCCTAGACCACCACCGGCTGCGGCGGCGGTTGTTGCTCCTTCAGTAGTAGTTTCGGCCTCGGTGGTCACTTCTTCGGTTGTTGTTTCCTCGGTGGTCGTCAATTCAGTGGTGGTTGTTGGCACCGTCGTGGTTGTTGTTGCGGGGGTGGTGGACGATTCGTCCTCGTAATCGTTCCCCCCTCCACCGTTCACTCCAGGTCCCATGTTGAGCATCTGCTGCCACCCCTTCGGACACCCTGGACACGTGATCGGAATGAATCCGACCCCGTGGCCGAAGTTAAGGTTCTGCTGCCAACCGGGTGCGCACCCCGGACACGAAATGCTCACCCCGTGCGGCAGCACCATGGCTACGGCCACCGACTTGAACCCCTGCGTGCCTCGGTTCACGTTCGAATCCGTTTGGGTGCCATCCCAGGGGCTGTAGCCTCCGTAGCCGTTCAAACCATAGCCGTAGCCGTTTCCAAAACCATAACCATTTCCATAACCTGTCCGAGGTGTATTGGCTCGGTCACTGTATGAGCAAGAATTGCCACCGCAGCAGCGAATCACCTTGCGCACTTGACGCTTTATTCGAGCTGAAAAAGAAAATTTTGCATTTAACTCAAAATAATGCATTTTGAAAACAAAAGCCAAAATTTCAAATAAACATTACATGCAATAATTAAAACCGAAGTGGCATTATCATTATTTCAAACTCAATAATTGTGAAAAGTTTAAAAATTTTCTTTTTTTCAATTTTCTGCTCTTTTTCTGCTTATTTCCTAATGAAAATTCGATCACTTGTATTTAATTATTTGCTTAGAAATCGGTTTCTTTATGATTTTAATGTTGGTTATAAATATTTAATCATCATACCTGTAACGAAGGAAAAATTTCTTAACTTTTCTGCGTGAATCACGCTTAGGTTTTGTAAGTGTCTTTTCAGCTTTAAAGGGTTGTTGACAGATTCTTGGAATGTCTTCAAATTTGTGCCTAACTCGTGCGTTAATTGATTGATAGTTTCTGAAGCGCCGGAAAATAAATGTTCCTCCATATCTGTTGTCATGAAAAGAATCTTCTGATCACCGGACTTGAGCAATTCTTCATTTTCTAATTTCTCTACATTTGAACTTGGCGATATTTCCTAAAATAAAAATATGAAAAATGAAAACTAAATTAATATTTTTTATTTTAAATAATTTTCTTACTTTTAAACTCTTCTGAGATCCTCTGGACACAGTTTCATCCTCTGCTGAGTAATCAAGACACTGAAAATTAGCAATTTTTATATATTATGCAATGCATTTTTAACAGGCTATTTTTTCAGCTTTCGTATTTTTTTTTATGTTGCTTGTATTTCGTAACAGAAGGTGCTAAATTTATTAAAATCAATTCGTATCATGATCGCAAGTTAGAAAACAAAACTACTATTGTATGATTTATATTTATACAGCATTGACATAATTCCACTGAAATTAAGAGTTAATATTGTTTCATTAAAAATTAAATTAAATTAAAGTAGAGCGAATTTTAGAGCATTGCAATTATTACAATTATTTATACTTGTATTAATTGATAGCTATAATTTAATATGCGACTTTCATCAACTTTAAATTTTATGATGTTTAATTTATTTTTTTCTTCAATATAAGAGTTCAAAACATTGTTTCGAATTCACGTCACGTTTGGCCGCCATCATTGAGAGTATCAATATAATTTGAGAAATATTACAGTTTGCATGCTTTTATTAATTCGTACTCTTGAGCTTCCCTAATTAGACAAAACATCTGAAAAACTTACTGTTGTGAGGAAACCAATGACCATCCAAAATCGAATTCGCATAATGCTTCAGCTCATAATTTAAAATCTGTGCCAAGCCGCCACCTGATGACGACTTTAGTTTTAACCTTGGTGAGTTTCTATTAGAACTCAGTCGCCACTGCTCGCAGCGGCGCTGTTGTTTTCCTGTTTCGCTCATTGGAAGTTGTATCAAAATGAAAAAAGTGAATCGAAAAATTATTATTTGGAAATGTTAGTTTTGGCGTCTAGCATCATTTTGATAACCAGAAAATCCAAAGAAACGAAATTTTTAAAAGATTTTAATTAGCATTGCTCATGCGCTTATTTATAATTCTCTTATATAGAGTCGCTTGATTGCATGAATCCCACTTCGCCCACCGCTACGATCTTTGATAAACGGACTGCAAATAAATTGGTAGCCACCGGTTATTTTTTAATGTTGAAAATTTCAAAGCTGCTTCAATCGAGTTTAGTTTTTGCGTCTTTCTTAACGATAAATCAAAAGCTATATAGTTTCGGAGCACTCAAAACGAATAAATAAATTTTAATGACACTTCTTTCATTTTTATTCTTGTATAAATAATCATTTTTTATTTATATATCTTCTCTGTTCAGATCCACTATGAGGTTAAACTAAACAGCTATCAAATTTTCTACGTGTTCTTTTCTAGAAATAACAATCTTTTTCTAGTTCAGTCAGTTGAATTTGTTATTGACGTATTTTCTTGAGCCCACCTTTTATTACCGATGCCAATGCATAAATATGTACATACCTTATGTGTATTGTAATCTTAAAAATAGCTATAAAAAAACCATACAATGCATACCCTTCATGCAATGAAAAATATAATATTATGAAATAAAACAGGGGTGCTCATGCAAAATGAAGTGTAACGCAAATAATGTCCTGAAAAATAATCAAAGTTTATCGAGGTAGAGTCAATAGATATAAAATATTTTTACTTGACAACACCACCCTCCACTGTAATGTGGGGCTAGAAAAGCGATAAATTTAGAAAGTATTCCAATCTATAAATCGTTTTAGAAAATTTTTCTGCTTGTTTCGCGACGCTATGTAAGAAAGTCATAAAATTCTGTAATAATTTTAAGTCAGTTTTATCATCCGCTTTAAATCAATATGTGTCATTTTGATTTCAATAAAACAAAAAACATTTAATTTTTTCTTTACTTATAACTAGTTTTAATTATTCCAGGTGATTCCAGGAAGAAGAAAAATTTACTGGAGGTCTCTCATGAGAATGTACCCCCCCCCCCCCCCAACATACATAAGTGTCCGTCCATATTTAATTAATAACATATAATTCGAAAATTCAACCTAGCATAGCAGCTAGTCCACCTAGATTGTCGGGCAAATTCATGCCAGGTGGTAATTGCATTCCTGCTGGCATGGTGAACCCTGGCGGCAAGGCAAGACCAGGCTTTGAACCTTTCACAGTGGTCCCCATCATAGAAGCGAGTCCACCAAGATTGTCAGGCAATTTCATTCCAGGTGGCAATTGCATGCCAGCGGGCATGGTAAACCCTGGTGGTAAGGCAAGGCCAGGTTTTGAAGACGAAGTAGTTGCTAAAGCTTTCACGGTGGTTGCAATTTTCATAGTGGTCGTAGAAAGTGTAGTTTTTAAAGTGGTTGGCGTTTTTGTAGTGGTCACAGGAGGTGAAGACGAAACCTTTAAAGTGGCTGGATTTTTGGTAGTGGTCGCAGGAGGTAATTTATTTAAAGTGGTTGGAATTTTTGGAGTGTTCTTGGGACGTGAATTTGGTGGCGAAGGCACACTTTTGGTGGTGCTCTCTGCCTCTGTTGTTACTTCTTCAGAAGTAGTGCTTTCTTCGGTGGTAGACTCTTCCGAAGTAGAAGTTTCCTCTGAAGTCGTCTGATCTTCATACTCGTTGATTACTTCAGTCACAACTTCAACCTTGTTTCCGTACTCGTCAGTAGTGTCCACAGCATTGTCCCACATATTTGTTCTTGCCTTCTTACTTTTAGTAGTGCTTAACTCTGAAAATTCCGTGGTCTTGAACTCGCTGGGCAGCAAATCCCTCCAGCCAGGTTCGCACCCTGGACACACAACAGGGATGTTTCCAACGCCGTCCCCAAGCATCAAATCATTCTGCCACCCGTCGGGACAACCCATGCAAGAAATACTCAACCCGTCCGAAACAAATCTAGCAACGGCTGTGTGTTGCATCCCGCCGGGAAGCCTCCTCCTAAGAAATCTGTTGAATGAAGGGCCGGTTGGACACGATTCCGAATGGCAGCAACGCATAATATGCTCTCTAATCTGCCTTTTAACTATTGCTAGAAATTTAAATCAATTAATCTTAAAAAGACTAATTTCTTTGTGTTTAGACAAACCTCTTTTTCTCCTAAAACCGTCATTTCTATTATTTAAATCTAAATCCTCCTTGCTATCAAAAGTTTCATTGAGTGTTCTCTCAGAATAAATCGCTATGTTGATGGCTCGCAGATCCGAAAATTCAAAGGAGATGGCAACAAGGATGAAAAGCTGTAAAATGTTATTTCATTTAATTGGGCAGCAGTTTGTTACAAAAGAGGGAAAATTTTATCTAAACAGTCCATGGGAAAAATAAATTAAATTTTTTTTCTATATAATTAAAGCACTATAAAGTTAGCTTTTTATTTTTATTGGTCTTTTGATTAATTTATTTTGATCATATTTTATAATATTTTTCTTGACCCCAGCCCTGAAAATGAGCTCATCAAGTATGCCTGCTTTCGTGTGGATCTATTGAACACTGAAAAATATTCAGTTAGGATAAGCTGAAATAGATTCAATTCACCGTGAATTAAACCTCAATTGATAAATTTTCTAAAAATTATTGCTGATTATATTTGTTTTAATTTTAAGTATAAAAGATTATTAATTCAGAAGAAAGCTATTGAGAAATAAATTGAATATTTAGGAAATCAAATATATGAAAAATATAAAAATTAAAATAACCATAATAAGAATTACCAAAAGTGATGAAGCATTAGGATTCATCCCGATGGAGTAGAAATGGGTTTTGAACGACAGCGAAGCTGGTTGTAGCTCTCTTCGGTAATATCGCACCTTTGCTTTTGTTGCGTTCGTATCGTCCTATTAATCGTCCCTTCTTCACCATCCACACGATTTCCAAAAGAAACACAGAACTATTGCGAGGGGAATATTGGCCATTCAAAATCCAATTTGCACAGAAAGCTTCAGCTCATATTTTGAAATCTGTGCCGAACCGCTTGATGACAACATTAGTTTTAACCTTGGAGAGTTACTGGAACCATGCGCCACAGCTCGCAGCGGCGCTGTAGTTTTCCTGTTTTGGTCATCAAATAGTAATAAATGAGTCTGGTAGTTCCACGTGAAAATCATTCCAATAATACATATATAACCTGACAGCTGTTTCCATAGACCGTGCAATTAAAAGGAAAATGCCATATTACAATAGCATCACAAACAATCCCTCAATTATTGTTAAAATTTTTAATGTGCTATTTATATAGGGCGGCGTATCTATCTATATCTATACCTTTTCATTTGCACTTTGCCAGCGAACGCAGAGTAATTAAATTGTACTAAATTAAAAGAAATTTATATTTTGTAATTTTCTGGTTGCGGTCAAAGCAAATAGAATTTTAAAGAGCTAAATATTTTAAAAATCGATTTTGTTTTCAAATTAAAATAATTTTATTTTGAGAGCATTGAATATTGGAGTTTCAAAAATGTTTATCATCCGAAGAGACCAGTGAGGCCTTTCATAACGTCACCGGCACCTGGAATCAAATTGTTCGCCATGCCAGCCATGTCACCCAAATTCGGAAGTGCAGTGGGCATTGTTATGCCAATGTTTCCCAAAAGGTTCTGCCCAGCTTGCAGAACGCTGCTGGCGTCAGGCAGTGCCAACGCTTTGGCCGTCGCAGGTGCAACAGTTGGTGCCAGGGTAACAGGGCGAACAGTCACAGGAGAGTCTGTTCTCAGCGTGGTCAGGACTGCGGTCACAGGTGGCTGAGTCACATTCAGAGTCGGAGCTGCTTGAGTTGTTGATGGCGGTTGTGGTTTTGGAGTTGAAGGTGAGGTCTGAACAATTTTAGGCGCTGGAGTGGTCACCGAGGATGATTCTTCCTCCGGAGTAGAGGTTCCCTCGATTTTGGTGATTTTAACAGGCTTTGTTACTTTAATTTTTCTTTTGGTTGGGCCTACCGTTGTAGTTGTAATTGTAGTTACTTCTTCGGTTGAGCTTTCTTCTGATTCCGTCTCTGGCACTGGCACATATTCCTCTCCCTTTTAGTTAAGACAATAAATCATTTTAATAAATTTATCAGATTTCTAACAATGGAAATAAATTAATTAAATTAATTAATTATTTGGAATCATAAATTTTTTTTCAAATTCACTTTTAGTTAAAAATTTTCCAGCTAAGCATTTTTTTTTTAAATATAGCAAAAATCGTGTTCTGAGATTTAGGGAAACTGAGGATAATAAAGTTTAAAACTTCCGAAAACTGAACTAAATTTGGGTTTATAACAAACTATTGAAATTATAGAATATTATTTATTTTCTAAAAAAAAAAACATTTTGAGTATACCTCGTGTGTTTGAACTTCTGGGGCCTGGGTAGTTCCAGTCTTTCCAGATAGAGCCGCCGCATAGCCCTCAGGTGATAGTAAGGAGCGCCAATTGACGTCGCAACCAGGACAGCTAATAGGAATGTGACCATGTTCTTGGTCAATTTTGAGGTTTGTCTGCCAACCAGGGGCGCAGCCAGGACACGCAATGCTCAAACCGTTTTCTCTGATGGTTGCAATTGCCCGATCTCCCATATCTTCTGATTTTTCCCGATCTCTTAAGACGCTGAAATAGTTGTCCCAGTATGCAATGGAGCTGGACGCCTTGCTTATTTGCAGTCCAGACCGAGAACTGTAGCTGCAAGACAAGTCTCCGCAACAGTGCACAATTATGCGTCTCCGCACTCTCGTTTGAGCATCTAATGAAATTCTAAATTATTATTTTTATTTAAAAATGGGCCGCAAAGAAAATTATGTGAGAAAACTTCATCAAAGACGCAGTAAGGTGCCAAAATATGTATTTGTTATAAAATAATTAAGTACTTAAAGAGACAAAAATTTCTTTTTTGTATCTCCTAAATGATCAGTAACTTGATTATAACTCCCAAATTAAGTTTTCAAACCAACATAAGTGTCCTGATTTGATTCAACTGAAATGTTTACCTTTGGATGAATTTGAAGAGGGAATCCATATTTCTCCACCAAATAAAACATTCTCCACGTTTAAACTTCTTGAAGCAGTTTTCTGAAAAAAACAGTTAATATCATCATTTAAAAATATTTTTGTTGCATATGGCAGTGAGAATTATTACAACGATTATAAAAGTTGAAATGCAAGCTAGTGTAATAAAAAATCTAAGGTCGTTCATGCTGCCTATATGTCACCATATTGAGGAAATTGACGTGCTAAAATATTTGCGGTGATGGAGAATCTATTTGAAAAATGAATGCAGGATGTACCTGAAATTGGAATCGTAAATAAAATTGATTTCCAATCATCAATATATATCAATTGCATTTTTAAATTTAAAAATATTAGAAATTTTCATACAATATCCTGCTTGTTGTAATTTTATTGTAGTTTATTGCATATGTCTTATTTTAATCAAACCATTAAATTCGTGTGAAGTTCATTTTATTGCCGATTGTTCAAAATTATGCTAAAGATTGATCAACATATTAACCGAGAGAAATAACGTTTGTTCCACGCAGTTGTTGAATTCCATTCTTGCAAGCAGGGGCTACAATATTGAAAATAAGTTTTAAAATAAAATGTAATTTTTGTATTTTTCATTTACATCCTACTGCACCAGGACAGTTCTAGAGTTAACAAATATCTGTATTAAAAAATGAAAAATAATTAAACAAATGCAATACAAGAATCATCTGCTTCTGCATGCAGTGCATCAGAATAATAGGCTTAACATTGCAAAACCTGTTGTTCTGGTAGATGGTTTCTGGCGTAGCGCCTGCAAAAGAGAGGTTAGACCATCCGCTTCACATGCGTGCTCTACAAGTAGAATAATTTACAGGAAGCCGGCTCCTCGCAAGCGTACAAAGCATTTAGGACGACATCCTTCCAAGATCCAGCGTAGCTCACTTTATCCGTGAAATGTTTTTCAATTACGTCCAACTTGAGATTAGTGCCATTCATCTAAAAATGTATAATATAAATGGAATAAATAGTCACCATTTTGATTTATCAAAAAAGGAAGATTTTTATAAAACTTTGAATAAACACTCACGAATCCGAAAGAGTTAAATAAGCAATCAGTGTAGCACTAAAATGATTTGCACTTAATTAATTATGATTCTATTTCTTTCTCTGTAAATTACAATCGCGTCCAAGTTGAATTTTTCTGTTTGAACGTAATCAATAAAAATTATATATATTTTTTTTAAAATTTAAAATGAGTTTATGCTTGCCAGCAGACCGTCCCTTTCTCTTTGGTGCCGCTTTAACAACAGTGGTTTGAGGGTAGAACAAATTTCGAACGTTTCCCAACCAGCCAGCATTTTTCTGCACAGGCCTCTGCTGTTTCTGCTGCTTTTTATTTATTTTCGGTTGGCACAAACTTAGCGCGTCGGATATCAGCAGATTGGGCACGTTACAGCAATTGTCAACTCTCTGCAAAATATTTTAATTATTAGATCTACATTTTACAAACTTCTGTACCCCAAAAGCACTGTAGATGTCATTAAGACTGCTCCCAGCAGCTTGTCGCTTGTGTCGAGGTAAAACCATATCGTCGCCTACAAGTAATACCAATTAATTTTTATTTTTATTATTACTATTTATTGAAACCATGAAGTTGGTATTGAATCAGATGCTCGTAATCGTGGTTATCAGATTTAGTACGTCGGTTCCAAATTACCGCTACGATCTGCATTATAATTGTTTCTACTTTAAAATACAGTATAAAATATGAAATATTAAGAAAATTAAAAAAAAAATGGCAAATCCTTAGAGTTCTTTTTAATATAAAGAATAATAATTTAGTATTTTTCTTGCATAAATATTGTCGTGGGCTATGCTGTCGAGTAAGCGCGAGTGCATGGTCAGCAATACTCGCAAGGTGCAATGCATTCAGTCTGCTGTTAACGATGGAACAATAAACACCTCACTGCTCTACCATGGTACTCGCCGCCTATCTTTCATTCCCCATTCTTCCCGTAACACTTGGTGGAGGCGCGGGACCAGCGATTTTGTGATTTTTTTTCTCGATTGCAATTTCGCTGGCTGTGGTCCTGGTTCAACCCCCGACGGCATCCAAACAGCAGAACCTACGGGATGGAGACGATGGGAAGAAAGAGGCGAGTGAGCAGGATTTCGTTTGCGATTCTGCCGACACCACCAGACTCAACCAATTTGGCTTTTGACGTTTCGGACATGTGAGTTAGAAAATGAGTTTTTCGGACACAACAATTGGCAACCCATTGGCAAAAAGAGCATTTTTCGGACGCTTTGGAGTGATTTGTGTACGACAGCAGCCACGTACTCGGCCCCTGATGGCAACGCACTCGGCTTGTACTTTGGACCTACAGCGGAATTCGCAAAGAGGACAGTCAGCAAGTTGTGTGTTTGATTTTTACTGACGCAAAGGTGAATGCTGAAGTTCTTATTACGCCGTGTTTTAAATAAAGAAGAAATAAATGTGAAATAGAAGTGACTTTTTTCCTGCGTCCGCACCGCGACCCCAATTACGGCCGAAAACGAGCAACATGGCGCTCAGGTTGCCTAGGTGCCGATAGCAGGAGGGCGAACTGAGAAATAAAAGTGGAATCTGATGTAATGTGAATAATTGAAACACAGCTTATTGTCTTTTCTCCGAGTATATGAATAAAAAAATTTTTAACCCTCTGTATTGAATGGGGGGTGCGGCACCTCTTCGAGGTGGTTGTCGAGTTGTCATTGTAATTGGCGAATCTTTCTGGAATAAAACTTAAGGGGGGCAGATGTCGTGGGCTATGCTGTCGAGTAAGCGCGAGTGCATGGTCAGCAATACTCGCAAGGTGCAATGCATTCAGTCTGCTGTTAACGATGGAACAATAAACACCTCACTGCTCTACCATGGTACTCGCCGCCTATCTTTCATTCCCCATTCTTCCCGTAACACTACAAGCTACAACCCCCTTATGACAATATAATAGAATGGTTTAAATACGCAAACAGAAAAAGTCAAATATGATTTTAAAAATAAAATAAATTTTATATTATATCCTTTCCGCTTGCATTGGTTTAATTTATAAAAATATTTGAACAGAGATATCACTTAAAAAATTAAAGAGCATGAAACTCTTTCTAATTTTATAGCAGTCCAGATACACGAATTCTTAATTCAAAGTTTAAATTTGTTGTAACTTATGTAAAAGAGATCAAAGTTTTTTTATTTCTCACAATCTTATTCCCACTTACGATTGCAGTGCTGAAAAAGAGGAGAAAACACTTTGACCTGGTATTGGCCATGGCTGCCCACTGCAATAGACGCAATCAAAGGCACGGTCGGACTCGCTTTGCTCGCGCAACTAAAAATCGCGCACTTATTTCACGCCTCACCGCTTTTAACGAGGCAATTTGCCAAACAATTTCCCAGAACCGGCACATATTCATTTCCCCCGGCTAATAAAATTCGAATACTGAATTGAAAAACTCGTCTCTCGTCGCTGGTGCATTTCTCCCCGCGGGCGCGAGAACCAACATAGTTGCAGCAGCTCTGAATAATAAATATTATTTGCTCTTTCTGGTCCAGCCCAATAAAAAATAGTTTACGAGACAAGTTTTGGCAAACATTTTCACACGTGCGTTCGGCAGCACAATGGGAGAAAGAGGCTGCGACAGGATCAGACTTTACGAGGTCAGTCCGAGAAACGCCGGCAAAAACTGTAATGACGGTCGAGACGGGAATTATACTTTATCAAAAGAGTGAGCAAATAAAAAAACGAGAGCGGATGGTCAGTCAGTGCGAATAGGCATCGCCTTGAAAGTGATAATAATAAAAGCTAACTGGCCTTCCTTATTATTACACCTCGGCTGCTTTAATGTATTGCGAGCAACAAAGTTGCATAAGTGAATGAGACCTGACGCGCAGTAAAATTTCTTGTGCGTCAAACTCGAAAGTCCGGCTCTGCTGCGTGCAGACTGAAATTATTGCGTCCGAGCGCACATTATCGCGCCTGCAAAGAGCGGACCTTGTTCTATTAATGCATGCGTATATACTTGCAATTCCCCTAGGGAGAGGAAAATTGAAATATAAAATATGGATTTAGCTTATTGAGTACTAAAGCGCATCGAAGTGGAACTCAAATGCTATTAACAGCGCACTTGATTATTTATCTTAACGATTTCTTGATATGCAAAAGTATTGATTTCGCATCCGTAATAATTGCACATTTCTCTATGAAATTGGAATAAATAAACTTTAATTGAAATCAATCAAGATTAATCTTATTTAATATACGTAATTATGTAACTGCAAAACTTGTTATTTTAAAAGCTTCTTTTGGAAGCTGAAGTACCGCTGAAATATTTGAAATAATTTGTTTTAAAAATGATAATAATGATAAAATTAACGTTGTTTGTGCATCATCTTATTTATAAAATTCAAAGAAAAATTAATTAGACCTGGCTTTGACTCTTCATAGGTTATAAATTTTGGTAAATAAAAAATACGCATAAAATCGAGTAACTTTGAAAATTGTGGTAATTTGCAAAATATTATGTCGTATTATGTAATGAATTTAATACGAACTTAAATTTTTTATTATTATCTTTTGGTGCATAAATGCCATGACATTATGTTAAATTGAAGAGTCTTTAAGTTCTCTTTTTTGAAGAAGGCCTCGTACTTGGTAGGAGGTCGCGTGTGAGCAGCTGCATTCCGAAATAATTTTATATATGTGGGAAAGGAAGAAAAAATGCGCTCGGCAGGGAGAAAGGTCAAGAGGGTGTCGTCGGTGTAACACATTGCGGGTGGCGCACCCCCTTAGCATATAAGCCGTGCTCGCGCGGGATGCGCCCCAAAGCTCCACAACAGTGAAATATGACGACTCTGTTTGAACAAGCTGTACGCAATTTATTTCGTATTTGGACACAAAAAGTCTCTTAGCTGTTGCATCTTTTATTCCGGTGCCAAGGCTCGCAGCGGCTGTCATTCGAGCGGACTAGATCTTACCACGGCTAATTTTTCACTTTTCAAGTTGGGAATGGCATTGTGGCCTGCGCGTCAATATTGTGCTCAAGTTCATCATCGGATACGGATAATTTTTCAGAATTTTCCACGCCTAAAACACGTTAAGCTTCTTTCATAGGACTTTTTTTCGAAAAGAAAATTTATTAAATTTTAGTAAGAATTTTGTAAATCAGCCACCACTGCAATTTTAATTCGATTTTTTTAGCTATCAAAAGATGTCAATCTATGGAATTTCAAAACTGAGTTAACTCTTTTCTTATTTGGATCAAGTCATGGTTTTTTTTTTCAGATAAAAATTTAATTATCATTAGTTAGAATTAGAATCTCTCCATATAGTAAAGCATTTTTAGAGGACATTAATAATATTGAACATAAATAATAATTTTTATTATCACTACAAATTCAATGCTTCTAATTGTCCATTGCTTCAATTATCCACAAAAAACGTACGAAAAACTTGACGGCTGTTATTTCGGTTTCTTTTTCTCCTCTAAAAACAACGGCTGTGATTTTGGTTTCCTTTTCTCCTCTAAAAACACATTTTTAACGCCTCACTTCTGGTCTGCCGCCGCCACTTTTGGGATTTTTTTTGCCGAGTGCGTGCGTTCCCAGCCAGCAGCTCTTTTTGAGTTTTATGACGTTCTCGGCGGCGGCGACAAGGGCAGCAGCTCAAAAGCCGTTCAGTTTCTGCTGCTCATTACTTTGTAACATTGCCGTGACCCTTGACTGGCGCCTTCCCCACATCTGCTTTTCCTGCATGCGCCTAATGTGCGCTGCCGCTCATCGGGAATAAAAAGGGGCAATTATATTCCATCCCACACGCAGCAAAACGAGCTGGTCCCGCCAAATGAGCGAGAGAGAAATGACTTAATCACCAAGCACGTTGAAGAGTGAAAAAACAAAATATTTTTAAGTTCCAGAAGTCTAAACAAAACGTAGACAGAAAAAGGAAAAATTAGCGCTGATTAACAAAAATTATTACATCGTACTTGCTGCTGGATATTTAAGAGTTCTTGACAGAATTCAGTCTTGTAATTATATATACCATTGAATTATGGGTAAGGGTCATCTCGAAAAGATCTCAGAAATTAATTGTCCTCAAAAATCGACTTACGAAAATTAGCATGGTATTCAAAATTCGTGTTGCATCCAGTTTGTTCTAAATCTTAAATTGCGTTTATTCTTAAAAATATAACGATGAATTTGGATATTATTTCACAAGAGAAAAATTACACAAAACATGTCATAACAAAACAGACACTTAAGTTTTTGAAAAAATTGCAATCCTTACTAAATTTAGCAGAAGAAAATAATAATATTATAAACTTTTGATTAAAGGTTTAATCAAATTAAAATCTACCAAATTTAA